TTTTCCATTTTATGTATATTTAGGTCTTCTAACTAAAAAACAAACTTGTTGACCTTTTTAAACTAATACTTGGTCTGACTAGGCTAATTAAATGAAGTCCCCTTAGGGATTTCTACTGTGAAGGAATTAGTTTTGGGATGTAAAACTGGAACGAGAGAAAAGGTCGCGTAGAGGAGCTAGAAATATTTGAAGGGAAAATGGGCCGGTAACAACAAAACACATTGGGCCCGGTTCATAGGCCTTCTGTTTCGAAGCTTGGCCCATGTAGCCCATGAGGGGCTCTGCTTTATGTCTGAGCCCTACATTTTAAGATTTTCTCATTTATCACTGGTAAAATAAATCTAAACCCGCGCTCGAACTACTCTCTGCCAATCGACGAGGCGGCATCGGCGGCACAAGTTACCGGCGAGAAAACCGTAACATCTTTTACTCTCTCTTCTTTTATATATTCAACGTCACTGTGTGTGTGTGTAGATTGTAGACTTTGAATAAACTGTGGTTTTTGTCTATATTTAATAGAATATGGCGGACAAGGCTATGACTATCAGAACAAGGAAATTTATGACAAATCGTCTCCTCTCCAGGAAACAATTTGTAAGTCATCATTAACTTTTTTTAATTATATTGTTTTTTCCTAATTATTTGTGCAATTTGATAATGTCATACTTATTTTTTCGTGATTTTGTTTTGAAGATCATTGATGTGTTACATCCAGGACGTCCTAATGTTTCTAAGGTTTGATTTCTGAACATATTCGCATTAATCTTTTAGGTGCTAGTTTTATGCATTTCTGCATTTTTTTTTTTTTACTTTGGTTGTTTTACTTAAGATATGGAGTGAAGTATATTTGACTGAGAATCGAGAAGTGCTTATATTTTGTACTCGTCTGGGTCTATGTATAATTCTGAAAAGGTTAGCTGTAAAATCAGTGGGTTATAAAAGTAAAACTAGTTTCTATAGGCCATTACATAGTTATGGAAGTATTCAAGGAAGTTAATAAATAAATGTATTTGTTGACGTTATTTGTTGATGATTTTTAAGGTTATATGTAAAGTCTATGGTTTATGAAAGTTATACTAGCTTCTACAAGCCGAAGCATACTTATGAAAATGTTGAAGGAAAATGAATAATTAGATCTGTTGGTGTTCTTGGTTGATAATTATTAGTTACCTTATGTTTATGATTTCCAAAAGCAAGTTTTCTGCTTGATTCTTTGTTTCAAGTTTATTTTTAACTCGAATTATGTTGGCGATTTGAATTTGGGTTTGGGTACAAATTTGAGGTCGCTTCTAGTTTTAACTACTTTGGCTATCATTGTAGGCTGAGTTGAAGGAGAAATTGGCAAGGATGTATGAAGTGAAAGATCCAAATGCCATATTTGTTTTCAAGTTCAGGACCCACTTTGGTGGAGGCAAATCCACTGGTTTTGGCTTGATCTATGATTCTGTTGAGAATGCAAAGAAATACGAGCCAAAATACAGGCTCATCAGGGTAATTCCTGTAGCTCATTGGACTTTCAGTGTTATTTATATTATATTGGTAAATAGACATTTAAGCAAGTGGTAAATTCATTAGTGGTTGGTCCAACATCTTTCGGGAAAGTGAATATTCAATTGTTAGTTACTCTAGTAGTTTTTGATTTTTTACTTTACCCGGACACTTAAGCAGTTAAGCATATTAAGCTCTTGTTTGACACAGATTCTTTCAAAACTCATTTTCAACCACACATTCTTTACACTATGTTTGACACCCATTTTATGGGAATGAGAATTTTTGGAATAGTGATTGATGGGAGAATGTGTAGTGAAAAAGTTATGAAAAGTTTTAGATTTGTGTGTAATATTATTTTATTGAAAGAATGTGTGGTTGAAATGAAAAAGAGAAAAAAATGAGAATGAGAATAGAATGGGTGCCAAACAGGGGCTTAATAAAATAATATTTTTCATTGCATCAATAACTTCTCCTTACCATATATTACCCATCATATCACTATTTAAAATACATTATTTCCTCAATAATATCCATCAAACATCCCCTAAATACATAGGCTTTTTGTACTTCACCAATAAATGTGTTTTACATGCATCATTCCTTCATTATGTATATAGTTATTACTTTTTTCCTGCATACTCTGCCCTTGCACTGAACATCTAAGTAGAGTTTGTAAGTAGTTAGGAGTTTCATGTTACCATCAATCTGCCTCTTATTTCCGGGAGAATTTCCATTAAACTTGTAAAAAGGACCTCTTTATTAATACGAAACCATTTCTTTGTTGCCTTAGATTTTACATTGGAGGCTAATTGTGCATGCTTAGCCTCCTTCAATCCAGTCATTTTGCTTGAATGGTTGTTTTATTAGTTGATAGGTTTGTTGCATTTGTTTCTCATGCTTCTAATTTTTTTAGAGATTTTTATATTTCTTTTTGGACTTTTGTTATTTTTTTATGCAGAATGGTCTTGATACCAAGGTTGAGAAATCAAGGAAGCAACTGAAGGAGAGAAAGAACCGAGCAAAGAAGATACGTGGTGTGAAGAAGGTAATAATTTCAATTTTTTACGAGTTTCTAGATATAATATCCAAAAAGTTTCTGCGATAATAGGTATAGATTAAAATGATTATTAATAAGACCTTACCTCCAACTTAATCAATCTCCTTAGTATGTTCTTGCCATAGCCCCCTTTCCCGACTCCTCCCACCACCAAAAAAAAAAAAGAAGAACTTGGATTTCTTCCGTTTCATCGATTTTGTTCAGATCCTCCTTTTTTTCCCCTAAACCCCAAAAAAAGGAAGGAGAAGGAATATTAAGTTGTTTGATCTTTTTTTTTTTTTTAAAGATTCATTTTTCTTTTTATTCTTTTCGACCACACGTTCTTCAATAAAATAATATTACACGCAAACTCAACATTTTTTCTTAGTTTCAAACCATTCACTCTCCATCAATCTATCATTCCAAAATGCATTCTACACCAAGAAATGGGGCTCAAACAGGCCCCTTTTATAAAATACCTCAAGCGACATGCCAACAAACCTGTGCACACTGATTCTCACACTTGACTCTCTAACAAGATTTTCCCCTTCCAAAAATTTGAAAGGATGATATTCTTTTATATGATATGCTCACTAGTAAATTATTGTATTATATTCATGTCATTTTCACTTTTGTTTTGCAACTAATTTCAATAATGGACTTGTACAGACTAAAGCTGGAGATGCTGCCAAGGCTGGCAAGAAAAAATGAGTTTCTAGATATCTTGGTTTTCATGTTTGGAAACTGAATACAGAAAATTCTCTTTGCAGCAAGTTTCTTATGCTGTGTCAATTTCTGTAGTTAATTTTAGTTTCCGTTTTTTATTAGAAAAAAATGCATTTTTGTGGAGTTTTTGAGTACGAGTACTGAATTTTTAACACAATCATGGACAGGAAAGAAGCAAAACGTTGAGTTTGATATCATGTTATGATCTATTGCCTGCACGGCTATGTTGATTCTGTTTCCTGATTGAAAAACTTTGGATACTACGAGTGTGTTTGAGCCACATTATTTTGGAAGAATGTATTTTGAAATAGTAGATTGACGGAGAATGTGTGGTTGAAAAAGAAGGAAAAGTTATTGATGCTATGAAAAATATTATTTTATTGAAGAATGAGTTGTTAAAAATAAGTAGAAGAATGAAAACGAAAATTTTAATGTGGCTCAAACGAGGGCTTAACATGTTTTCTTTTGCCATTTGTCTTGTTGGTACTGATCCTAGGCTATTTTCGCATTTTCTTGATTGTTGGTACTTTTGAGACCGTGAAGAATGGTACCCAAGCTTATAAGCGTGACAAGTGAGCTTAGGAGTTACAGCATGGTAACATTTTCCTATAGTTTTGTCGATTTTATGTTTTTAGTGTCCTTGGAGTAATGATGAAAGTTACAGCTATGAAATACTTTGGGTGAGCGCATGAGAGGGGTTTCCGTTTCTCTGGGCGGATGATGGCGGGGAAATGCATAGGGTTTCCCGTTTTCAGCCCCAAATTGATGCAGAATGGAACAGAGAGGGAAAGAAAGATGGCGGAGAGATATCTTGGCATTAACATGACAAAAACTTGACTTCCTTCTTACCATTAGATTAATTGCAATGAATTGATTAAAATAAAAATCTATTGGTTCATCAATAACAGAGTATTACCGATTTACAGCTGATTTGTTGTATATTGAATTTTTCATTTCCTAGCTTTCTACTGAAGGCACTTATAATGTACATGTTCCTCGAGTTAAAATTTGTTGTTAAAAGTGAATAAAAGTTGTGAGTTCGAGTGCGATTAAAAATGAAGTTTAACTAGCTTGTATTTTCAAAGAACTTTGTCAAACGTGGATTAATTGATCAAATAGATTTTTATGTATACAAATCGCGAGAATCACAGGTACTACCATTTTATGTACTCTTCATTTATATATATTCGTTTTAAAAACAATTTTCAACCTGTTGTACATGCAAATCTATCTTCTTGAGGTTTTTTTCTTACAATTGTTAAATTATCTTCTCTACTGCTGAAAATTTGAGATAGAGCTAGTAATGCCTCCTCCATTGACACCAATAACATCGTTTCATTAAAGAGGCCTTCTGGTACAGTTGTTGCTACTAGAAGTACAAATGTTGCAACGTAAGGATCGTTGCTGATGCTGCTGTTCGCAGCAATGTCGACACTGTTGCGACGCTATCGTTTGCGCAGTGTTGGATTTGGGATTGTAGATTAGTGGTTTTGATGTCGAATTTAAGTTTGTAGATTAGTGTTTTGCTGCATCAGTGATTTTGTATATCAGCGTTGGATTTGGGTTTGTAGATCGGTTGTTTTGCTGTAGCAGCGTTGGATTTGGGTTTGGTGGTGAGGGTAAGCAGATCATGGTGTTTGAGGTTTTGTGTCGAATTTGGGTTTGGATATGGTTTTGGTGTCAGATATGGCGACAAAGGAGATGGAACTGTCATAGCTTTAGTTGGTTTAGTTTGCTTCGTTCGTGGTGGCGATCCTTTAGTTTTAGTTTGTTAGGTTGTGTTTGTGTTGGTAACGGTGCATCTGTATTGTATTGTTGGGATGTTTTTGTGGTGGTAGTAGTAGTGTTTTTAAACTGCGTTGATGGTGCTTATGATGATGGTGCATGTGGTGGTGAGGTGGGGGTAATTACAGGTCAGGTGGGGTAGGTGATGGGTTTATGAGTGTGTGTGACCAAATATTGAGATCGTGACCAATAAATAATATGTGATATAAAAATTTGAGTTGCGACTTATAAAATTTGTGATTTGTGATCAATTAATTCGATAATTTGTGACCAAATAATATATAATTGTAATCTTAATATATTTAATTAATTATTTTATAAACGATAAAATTTATTTAATATTTGATTTTTGAAGTTTTAAACTTTGTTTTTTTAGTTTTGAAATGGATCATATTTAATTTCTTAGATATGAATTTTTTCCATAAAATAAAGAATTTTGAAAAATGATGATTGTCAAATATGGATTTAAAGTTGGAATGAGCCCCAGTATTTAGAAAGAATGCATTTTTAAATAGTAGATTGATGGGAAATGTGTAGTTAAAAAATAAAGAAAATTTTTGAATTTGCATGTAATATTATTTTACTGAAAAATGTATAGTTGAAAAGAATTGAGAGAAAAAAATATTTTGAAAATAATGGAGATCAAACGAGCGATAAATTTGTACACACTATTGGGTCCCGAAAAGGGCTAATGGGTCGGTGCCCGGTAACATCGAAACAAATTGGGTCCAATTCATGGGCCTGTCGTATCGTAGCTTGGCCATAATAGCCCATGAGGGAGCTCTTTTATATGCCTATAAACCCTAGATGTCAAGTTTTTCTCACTTCCTGTGAAAGACACTCTGCCCATCGACGACGCGGCAGTTCAAGGAGTTACCGGCGAGAAAAACAACGTAATAATCTCTGACATTCTCTCTTCTTTTTTATATATACAATGTCATTGTGTGTATGTAGATTGTAGGCTTTGAATAAAATTTGATTTTTGTTTATGTTTTACAGAATATGGCGGACAAGGCTGTGACAATCCGAACAAGGAAGTTCATGACAAACCGTCTACTCTCCAGGAAACAATTTGTAAGTCGTCAATACTGTTATATGTTAACTTTTTTAATTATATATTTTGTTTCTACTTATCTGTGCAATGAATTTGTTTTGAAGATCATCGATGTGTTACATCCAGGACGTCCCAATGTTTCCAAGGTTTGATTTTTCAACATATTTGCATTATTCCCTTTAGTGCTAGTCTTATGCTTTTCTGCATTATTTCTTTTCACCTCTGTTATTTTTCTTAAGATGTGGATTGAAGTATGTGTGTTTGAGATTCGAGAAGTCCTTTTATTTTATACTGATCTCGGTCTATGTCTAATTCTGAAAAGGCTTGACTGTAAAATCTCTGGTTTATGAAAGTAAAAACTAGCATATATAGGCCATAGCATAATTATGGAAATATTGGAGGGAAGTTAATAAATAAATATATCTGTTGATGTTCTTTGTTGATGATTTTTAAGGTTAACTGTAAATATATGGTTTATGAAAGTTATACAAGCTTCTACAAGCAGTTGCATAATTTTGAAAATATTGAAGGAAAATGAATAAATGGATTTGTTGTTGTTGTTGGTTGATGATTATTAGCTTTAGTTACTGATTGCCAAAAGCAAGTTTTCTGCTCGATTTTTTGTTTTAAGTTTAATTTTTTCCTCGCATTTATGCTTATGCTGGCAATTTTAATTTGGCATTGAGTAAGCATTTGTGTTTTCTTTTAGTTTTACCTGTTGTGGCCATCATTGTAGGCTGAGTTGAAGGAGAAATTGGCTAGGATGTATGAAGTGAAAGATCCAAATGCCATATTTGTGTTCAAGTTCAGGACCCATTTTGGTGGAGGAAAATCCACTGGTTTTGGCTTGATCTATGATTCTGTTGAGAATGCAAAGAAATTCGAGCCGAAATACAGGCTCATCAGGGTAATTCCTGTGCCTCGTTGAACTTTCCGTGTTGTTTATATTATGCTGGTAAATGGATATTTAAGCAAGTGATAAATTCATTAGAATTTGTCGGTTCAACATCTTTCGGATGGTGAATATAACATACCACAGGCTTCTTGTACTTCAGCAATGAGTGTGTTTAGATGTATATGGTTATTACTTTTTTTGCTCCATGCTCTGCCCTTGCACTAAACATCTAAATAAAGTTGGTGAGTGGTTAGGAGTTGTATGTGACAATTTATGCCTCTTATTTCCAGGACAATTTCCATTGAACTTGTAAAAAGGATCCCTTTATAAATATGGAACCATTTCTTTGTTGCCTTTGATTTTACATTGGAAGCTAATTGTGCATGCTTAGCCTCTTCAAACCAGACAATTTACTTGAATGGTTGTTTTGTTAGTTGAAAGGTTTGTTGCTTTTAATTCATGCCTCTTTTTTTTAAGATTTTTATATTTGTTTTTGGACATTTGTGATTTTTCTGCAGAACGGTCTTGATACCAAGGTCGAGAAGTCCAGAAAGCAAATGAAGGAGAGAAAGAACAGAGCAAAGAAGATCCGTGGTGTGAAGAAGGTAATAATTTTGTTTTTGATAAGTTTCTTGCTATAGTATCCAAAAAGATTCTGAAATAATCAGTATAGATTGAAATAATTATTGACAAGCACTCAACACCAACTTAATTAATCTCTTTAGCATGTACTTGCTATAGACGCCCTTTTCCTGACTCTCCTTCCCCCTGGAGAAAAAAAATGATAATTTTTATTAAGCCCCCGTTTGGGCTACCTTTTTATCTCATTAAAATGAAAAATATGACCGTTATCCATCGCATCAACATTTGAATTCAAATTTTCTATCTCTTGTGTGTGCCCCAATAACGGCTATATTTTTTTTCTCATTCTACAATAAGGTGGCTCAAACAGGGCCTAAATACATCGAAGGACGTGTCAACCCTGCACTCTGATTATCACACTTGACTCTCAAAAAGATTTTCGCCTTTCAAAATTCAGAATGAATGATATTCTTTTATATGATATGCTCACTAGTAATATTGTCATATTATATTCCGGTCATTTTCACTTTTGTTTTGCAACTAATTTCTTTAATTGATTTGTACAGACTAAAGCTGGAGATGCTGCTAAGGCTGGCAAGAAGAAATGAGTTGCTAGGATATCACGCTTTCCATGTTTGGAAACTGAATACATAATTCTCTTTGCAGCCAAGTTTCTTATATTGTTTGTCATTTTCTCTAGTTATTTTTTGTTGCCTTTTTCTATTAGAAGAAATGCAATTTTGTGGAGTTTTTCAGTACCAAGTATTGAATTCTTAAATCGCATTCACGGATTCAGTTTCATATGATTATGTTACGATCTCTTGCTTGCATACACAGCTATGTTTATTCTGATTCTTGATTGAAAAAAATTTGGATACCCGCAAGTTAAAAATTGTTAGCCGTTTGGCTTTACTCATTGGGGCTTCAGGACCTGCAGTATTGTGTGTATAGGCTCTGCTCCAACTCCTATTGGACTTCTAAATTGATTGAAATTAGTATTATGAACTGTATTTAGTTTTATATTTCTTTCGAATAAAACAATGAAGTTAATGTTTTATGCATTAATTTAAAATATAATATGTGATTAGTGAGTTTGGTCATTGCTATGTCACATTTCTGTCTTTAACCTTCAAGGCACGTCTTGTCTATTACTGATGAGGGGTAAATATTTTGTTGAACTTTTATTTTTATTATTTGTTTAAATTAAAAGTAGAGAGTAATTATATTTTTATTATAGGGTCGAGAAGTACCGTGCGCCCCGTTCCTTACTATGGTACATGTCTTCAACTTTTATAATTTGCCTCTCATTTTAAAACACGTTAAAAATACAAATTTCCCCATTCTGTTACATTTGCAAGGGTATTGGACGAAAAATACAAATTTCCCCATTCTTTCCACTTTTCTGGTCTATAAATATTAAATACATATTGGTTAAATACCATTTTTCACATTTTCCACTTTTTTTTTTATCATTTCTTCCTATTCTCAGTTGTCTCATACTGGCTATTGTTTATGTCCTTTATTTTTAATTATTATCGAAGAGTAATGCTATGAGCATCAACATGTGTTATGACGCTTATGACTGATGTATAACAATTGTTTTGATACATTGCAATACTATATTTTGAGTTATTTACGGTGAAACCAGGAGGAATATCTTTACCAATATATCTGTAAGTCAAATACTTCAGCCAATGATTTTATCGACTTAATTTTCAAATACTTTCAAAAAATTAGTTTTAAATTAAAAAGAGTTAGGACGAGCCAAGTCAAGCTGAAAAAAAATTCGAATGAGCTACCTCATGCCTTGCTTACCCTGAGAGAGCGTGCCGTGAACCAACTCGTGTGTGGATCTAGTCGAGCCAAGGCTTAACACCCTAAAAATAATAATTATTGGAGTGAATATAAAAATACTCCAAATTTAAGAATTCTATGTGATTCATCCATCTTATGATTTTCAAATTTCAATAGCATTGTACAAATTTGCTTGGCACCTAAAATATTTGTAGCATATACCATTGTTTATTTTAAATTATTTTATAAGTCCTATACATGCATTCCTGTTAGAAAAAACCAACATTACAATTATTAAAAATAAAAAAATTTAAATAACTATAAAAAAATAATTTCATTCTTTCCAAAAGTATAATTTCATTAAGAGGGTATATATATTTGCAAAATTAAAAATAAAAAAACTACATTACAAAAATAAAAATAATAAAATACTAATTATACTCACACCACAATTTTTAATTTTTGCATCACATTTTAACTGCACTTAATGTTTTTAATCTTTACCCATTATAACATTTATGTTCCTAATAATTTTTCATGTCATTTTTATCCTCAAACTTTTCATTAGTTAACATATTTTGTATATGATAGCAATTTTATGTCCAAAAGTCTATTGAAATTGCGTAAAATAAATTATTTTTCAAGTGCGATTTTTTTAAAAAGTATGAAAGCAAAATATTTTGATATGAATCGGTATCAAGAACGAGACATACTAATTAATAGAAAGTTGGAGTCAAGAATTCGATGAAAAAAAGTTAAAAAAATAATTATTACAACGAATAAAGATTTAAGGAATTTATCTGCAATTAAAATGTATATGGTGGCAATATAATCCCTTCAATATTATGGACCACAATTTGAATTTACAAAATAGTCCTCCAGTTTACGATATATAAGCCTTTGCGCGCCTCAAAATAATAATTAGGGTTTAGCGTTTGTTTTCTCCTTCGAAGTTAATCAGCCGTCCCGTACAAACCGGCCTATTTTCAGCCATGGTTAATCTCTCTCTGCACATAGATACATTAACGCACATCTATTTCGGTTGATCTCGGTATTGATCTATATCTTTGTCGATTTCTGAATTTTACAGTCGCTGATAGCAAATGAGGATTTCCAGCACATTCTTCGTGTGCAGAACACGAATGTGGATGGTAAGCAGAAGATCATGTTTGCCCTGACGTCAATTAAGGGTATCGGTCGTCGATTCGCCAATATTGTCTGCAAGAAAGCTGATATTGACATGAACAAGAGGTTTTCTATCCCTTTTCCCGCTTTATGCTATAATATCTGTTTTTACCTTTCTGATTTTATATTCTCTCTAATTCTATCAAGTGATTAGATTTATTGACTCAGCTCTATGATGAGGTTACATCATTTTTTTTTAAAAATATTGACACTCCTGAAACACCCGAGAGCACGAGATAATTGACCGTCACGGAACTTAATGTTCCTAATTTTATTTTATTTTTCTGCACAAATTCCCTTTTAACAATATCAAGATATTTTTTAAGGGAAAAATAATGTTTAATACCTAAATTGTCCTATTAAAAATGTTAACCAGAAAATGTTATAACTAGATAACTGCAAAAAGCATTTGCAAAATTTGAAATTCTGAAAAGGGCTAGCAGTTAAGTTAAATACAATAAAATTAGATAAAATAAGGAACCCATCATAACAACACAAGATGAAAATATAATTTGGAATTACTGCAAATTCAGTCCTTTTTGTCAAAATGTTTTTTAAAATTTATTGAATCATTTTGTGGGGGTAACTATTACATTTGCGATTTGAGTATTGTCTTTTGCTACAACTAAATATTTGTAAGTGTACTTTCTTAATCGAGACAATTTATTATTTTGGCACACTTTTTATTTCTCTGTCTTTGGTCTTTCATGTTTGACATTCTTCTTAGTTTGGGAAAGTCATCTTTTCCTAGTGACAATGATCTAATGATTGCGATCTTGTCATTCTTATGTAATCTGAGCGGAGCCTGTCTACCAATAAATATAAATGCAGAAGTCCAACAGTATGTTTGACACCATAAAGTTTGTGGTTTGACAAGCATTATTTTGTTGGCACGGCCTGTCAAGAGAATTGCAGTGCATGCCTCTTTGTTCAATTGTATTAAATTTAGGTTTGCTTTTCAATTGATTCTAAAAATGTTTTAATGGAGGCTTTACTAGGCCATGGATTTTCGTACTCTGGTCTCTGGGCAGCCCTTTCTACCTTTACACCCTAGCAGGGAGGGGGTTTGAGAAATATTATTTTACATTTGATGGATTCACTGCTAACTCTACTATTTTGAATTTGGGATGGTGAAATCGATTTTGAAATTTCCCATGGGACATAATCGCTTGAGTATATTTTAACAAATGCATTTCAATTCAGCAGGATAAGGGCTCTAGCTTTGTAGAAAATACAATCGTCCTCCAGCAACATCTTTTGCCTTGAACTTTTATGCTGTATTTTTAGTTTTTGTGCCAAATACAGGTGTCATCATTTATTTCTTCTGTACTTGTTGAGTTTTTTTTTTTTATATTGTAGATGGTTGAGGTTGGTATTTGAATTCTTGCCATTAAAATATGAGTTTATATTTGACTATATAATTTCAGATCCCTCCATACTTCCAAATTTCTCCATTTTATTTCCTTGCACCACAGAATGGATGATGTTTAGAATGGCAAAGACAAAATTTAATTGACAAATTTTACCCTATGTAAAATCATTTTTGTTCTTATAGATGAAGTGGTCTAACACTAATCTTGTGTTCAAATCTCTTGGCTACCCAACTACTAAAACTGTGAATGTGTCGTACATTTGATAGGTAATGAAATTAACTTGTACTTAGACTAGATTTGAGTAAATGATTGTCTGGTCTTGAATAACTTAAGTTTTCATATTGGGTGGTTCAATATGGTATTAGAGGATTGAAAGATTATGATTTCATGTCTCGCTGCCACCATTTAAGAAGATAATGTTGGTGTATGCCTTGGATGTAAAATAAATCCAACTTGCTAATGAGAAAGCACGATGAGGACAAAATTTAAATAAAGTAATATCCCTTCTCCGACATCTTAAATTTAAACTTATAGATGGGGTAGTTCAACACAGTTAGAAATAATGCTACTGATTTATACACCTTTATTGAAGTTGGGTCTTCTTGAATGGGATGTGCCATATTTGTAGACTTGTGAAGTTAACTTGAATCTATTGGCTTTGTATGTTATTCAACGTACATCTTGGAGAGAGTGATAGCATCTTACTTCAGGTTTAACGTTTTAATTTCATGCTAGTTATCCAGATATGTTTAGATTGCATGGAGACCTTGGTTTTTCTCCCGACTCTAGTTCTGTACTGAGCTGATCTAAAATGTTATCTCGGAAAAAATCGATGTAGGGCTGGTGAGCTTTCAGCTGCTGAGATTGACAGCTTGATGACAATCGTGGCCAATCCTCGCCAATTCAAAATCCCCGATTGGTTTCTGAACAGGAAGAAGGATTATAAGGATGGAAAATTTTCTCAAGTGACTTCCAATGCTCTGGACATGAAACTGAGGGATGATCTTGAGCGTTTGAAGAAGATTAGGTTTGACTTTATGCTTTGCTATCTTGACTGTCAGTCCAATATCTATTTCTTTTGCTTATTTCTATATTTAATTTGATTTTGCTTGACAATGGTAGGAATCACCGTGGTCTCCGTCACTACTGGGGTCTTAGAGTGCGTGGACAACACACCAAGACCACCGGCCGTAGGGGAAAGACTGTCGGTGTCTCCAAGAAGCGATGATTCTCTCTCTTTTTTTTTGCACTGTTCACCTTGATACAATGTTTGGTTTTAGGCGTCGCTTGACCTTATGATCTTGCATCTATCTGATAAAATGCTTTGTTGCGGATCTCTTTTAAAGAACTGTCTCAATTTCTAATTTTGGGTGTTGTTAAATGTTTCTCTCCCCTTTTTATGGCAATTTTGTTGGTTTTGACTTTTGAAGTGTTTATAGAGCGACGAATCAGCTTTTTCCACCTCCGTTGTGGGTTGTCATGTTGCTTCCATCGATTAGGAGACAGAAATGTATGATTTCCAAGTGTCAATTGGATTGTCTATTGTTTTGATTCCACATCTTGGGATTTCACGTTGTTAACAATTTCATGCTTGCCTTTGGTACTCTAGAAGGTCAAATTTTAGATGAACAGCATTCGCTTCCTTGTGCCCAAATCACCCCGAACACGGGTGGATATTGTGCCTCCGGTATAACAGTTGGCTACGTTATTGTAGAATGAGAATGAAAAATATAGCCGTTATTGGGGTCCACATAAGAGATAAAAAATTTGAATTTAAATGTTGATGTGATGGATAATGGTCATATTTTTCATTTTAATGAGATAAAAAGGTGGTCCAAACAGGGTTTAATCAATCATAAATCATCTTGGAAATGTACTAAGATTTTACTATAGTTTTTAATTTAAAATATTAAATATTTTGGAAAGCACAACGACTTTTATATGATTTTATGTATTCAATGTGAATTGAGTTAGTTTTATCTATAAAGTCAACTTATTTTACAATAATAGATCCTTTAATTTTATATTTTATAATATAATAACCTAAAAGTGGCTTGATACTCCGCAGTTGGATCCATTGGTTGAAAGGCATGTAGTGATTGATGTTTTTGAGGGGATATGATATGTTCTTCCCTTGTTAAAGGATTAGACTGCCCCCTGGAAATAAATTAACAACAATCCTTTTAAGGAAAAAAAAAACCTATTTGAAGGGAAATGAGATTTTGTTTCATCACTGAAAATTATTTGGTTCTCGTCTTTCAAAGAATTTTAATGATATATCAGAACAGTCGTTTATAGGATTAAATGATTCCTCAAAGAAGATTCATCTTTTTGACTATTTGTATTTGATGCATTCATTTGATTTGTTTATCAAAATAATAATAATGAATAGAAAAGTAATGACTTATTCGTTTATATACATCTAATCTACGATAAAAAACAATGTTCCCTCAGAACAATTATTTATTTCAATTCAAACATCCTCTTACAATAGAATCTTTATGCTCAAAACCCTGATTCAAATCTTCCAACGTGAAAACATATCATCTAATTGTACTAAGCCCGATATACATAAAAATATGCCCAACTCGAGTAAAAAATACATAGTTCGAGATGCACTACCTCGAAATCAATTCGTACGGGTTGCTTAACAGAGTCAACACACGTCAATAGGAGATAAGGGTCAAAGGACCTCCACCCACCTTCCTAAAATAAAACGAACTTTTTCAAGGTAGAGGTGGGTTGGTGAGGTGGTTAAGAAGAATAGGCTCTAGCCTGTGCATATGTCACGTTTTCATTACATGAACTATTTTCTCCAATTCCATTTGCAGAAAAATAGATAACAAAATCTTACATTTTGGGCAAATAAAATCTTAGGTGAGGAACAAAACTACTGCAACAAGCAAGAACCCATATATGAAGTGGAGTCGGGGAGGGTCGAGGATGGAGGAGTTCACCGAACCCCCCAACTCAACCTATCCACGTCCCACGTAGCCATATATTCAGGTGGTCAAATTACTCATTTGTCCCTTGTAGTTTACTCATGGTTAGTGAACTATATACATTGTTAGGTCTCCAACATTGGGGTTTGAATTTATTGTTGTTAATCAAAGAGGGGAGTGAAATAAATAAAAAAAATGAAGTTATGTTCAAAAATGAAATCTTATTAAAATTGTCCATATTCGATTTATTGTTTGAAACTAGACCAAACTCTGAATATCATGAAATAGGACGACTTGAGATAGTACTAAAATAAGCATTTTTTTTCACTATTTAAGATAGACTCACGATGTTGAAATTGTATGAAGGATAAAATATCAAATACGAAAATATATTCACGAGTTTGAAATTTACTTATAATTGTTTGTATATGTTAGTTAATACAAAATTCGAGAATTCGAATTTACAACTTTCTTTCTTTCGTGGTTCTAACTTTATTAATCGATCAAGAAATAAGTATAAATTGTTGGTAACAATTCTAGAATTGCAATGAGTAGTAACAAAAAAAGATATTGGAATAGTTCTTTGTACAAATAAAGTAAATGTTACTTTATATTCGGGTACAAATTATTATGCACTACGTATTATTCATTCTCCTTCATAAAAAGATTTATGTTTTTATGATGTGTTTAGTAATAGGAATTGGACCTAAATGGCCGACCATAACAAACCCTTGTAATCCGTTTGGATTATCCATTTTAAGAGGGACAATTATGTTTACACTGCATTTTTTCGTTAACCGTACTATATTTTAATTGCAGTAAATGTCCTTAATCTTCGCTCATTTTCACACATATCCCGTAATTTTTTATCACGTTCTTATCCTCAACCGTCTATTAATATGCACATCTTCTACATTTGATAATGATTTTCATCGAAAAATTATGGTAGGAAGGCGCACAAAAAAACTTACTTGTCTCTCATATTTTTAAATAAGTAATATATATTATCAAATATTAGCCCTTATATCAATGCATGTTAGCAGAATATTTGGATAAAAATAGTCACGAAAGACAAGATATGTGAATGTAAATGATAAGAATGACACGAAAAAAAGTAAAAATACAAGTGCAAAAGCGATGAATATTGAGATCTTCGTTGCAATTATAATATAATATACCTAATAAATACTTGGTATGAATATAATTACCCTTCTAAGACATTCAAAATTTGAAAGAAAAATTAAATTCCTAGAAAAGACAAAATAATTTCACTATTTTAGATATTATAAAAAAATCTGGTTGAAAAAGAAGTAAAGTGATATCTGGTGAGTAGGAAAGCATTTATTCATTTAGAGAAGGGTAAATCAGTAAAACTGTTGCAACAAATCATCACCCAATTCTGATAATCAAATATAAGATTACCTTCTCCAAATTCTGATAATCAAATATAGGGTTACCTTCTCCCACCCCACCCCCACCCCACCCCACGTAAGTGTATTTATATACAAGTATGTAATCAGTTCTGTTGCAGGTTCAGAGTTGGAACACTCCAACCTATTTCTTGAACAAGAAAGGAGTTTCTTGATTTCTCTCTCTAGATCATTGTGTGAAAATGGCACAAAAGGATTTTGGTTGTTTTCAAGAAGAAATGCTTTGGCCTCCTACACACCATGCAAATGCCATTCATTCTCAGCAAAAGGTATGTGTATGTATATTTGTATATCACTTCTTTCTTCTCAGTTGATAATGTTTTTTCATATTTTCGAGTTGAAATGTTTCCTATTTAAAAAAAAAAAAAAATCGTTTTTGTCAATGATATTTGATTTTATTTTATTTTTAGATGGTGTAACGCATGGATTACACCTTCAGAAAAACTTGCGTTTTGATTCTGCATACATGTAATTATGAATTTTTTTTTTAATAATATTTTGATTTTTTTTTTTCAGATGGTGTAACACATCGAGTTAAAAAACTAGTTTAATTGTTTTGTTATATTTTAATATAATATTAAATTAATTAGCATGATTATATTAATACCAACCATATCCAAAATATATTTTTCTATCAAATGTTTTCAAGATTTTTATATACTACTCTTTTTTAACATTTTAATTAGAATAATACTATGTAGTCTTATCGGGATTGCGACCCCAATCCAGATAGCGCCAAATAATAAGCTAATAAAAAGTGAAATTAAATTAGTCATTTAATCAGAGGTTCTAATTCCAATGTGGCTAAATATCATTACTCTTTTAATTATGAAGAGAGAAATTTATGTAAAACTTTTGGCATAACCCTTTGTTTATAAAAATTCGGTACATGTAGCATAACTCTTTGTTTATTGGCTTGTAGTTGGAGGAGCAGTTTAAATTTCCGACAAGGCAACCACATCGGCACGGTGAAAAGTATTCATCGGTCACAGAATCACTTCCTCCACTGGTACTACTTGCTAGAAATTTTTAATTTTGCTCTTTTTTAATATGATTTATTTTTAATTCTTTTTCATTTCGTTGTTAACTCTATTTTCAACGTCCCGTCTCAAACCCGAATAAAAGAAGTTGGTGCAATAAATTTTAAATTTTGCTCTTTTTTAATATGATTTATTTTTAATTCTTTTTCATTTCGTTGTTAACTCTATTTTCAATGTCCCGTCTCAAACCCGAATAAAAGAAGTTGGTGCAATAGATTAACAAATAATTCAATTTTTGCTAAGATTTATAGTATGCTTTAAGTGTGCTTTAATTTTACTTTTCTAGATGTTACGTCAATAAAAAGCACGATACCTTGGTTGCTAATGCTTAGCGACAGAAATTAGAAACTTGTCATCTTAAAATTTTGCCACTTTTTCATGATGCCTTAAAGAATAGGAATTTTTTTTTTATTCTCTTGAGAATGAGATAAAATAAATAAAAAATCCTAAGCAACAAAGTATGTATAGAAACCTATTCAACGATATTGTACACGTGATTAATATTCTTGTACACGTGGTAGCTAAATGTTTAATTAATTACAAATAATTAGAAATTATAAGAACTATGCTGTCATTTTTTTCTTTAGTTGAATTTGAATTACAATTAATTGCTTTTTCGTTTTTGGAATAAATTTTCTTGTGATGCATATTATGTAGCAGTAAATGATGTTACCTTATATAATTAATTGTTTCTGAATTTGGTGGTTTAAAAATAAACGTTGTATTTAAAATTTAAGATCCCGACTTCGTTAACTCGTGTATTTTTCCTTTTACGGTTTATTTATTTGAGATTATTATTATTTTTAATTCTACTTCGTATTTTTCAATAGTAAATGATGATCACAAATACATGTTGCCTATATATGACGCAAAATATTCTAATATTTTTACGTGCTCGAATAGCTTCATAGTCACACAAGATCAATCCCGAGAGCCCAAAGAACAAGAAATCCCATTGGACCTGGAATGCAAGCTATCTTCCTAGGTTCAAGCCAAAAATCATTAGGGACGGGAGTTTTTCTTCCGAGAAGAGGAGACACTGACTTCGAATTTAACAATAAGTCAGGTATTCTAGCACTCTAGAAATGTTCTCATACCTACATTGAGAAGTCTTATCTTGTCAATTTGAAGAGAATCTTACTTCGAGTTCTCACATTTGAAGAGAACTCTAAATGAAGTTCTCTCGCCACATCAGCAAGTGGGCACGAGAACGATTTCGTATAACACCCCTAGCTACCACTTCAATGCATATAGAAATGCCATTTTTTCATGGTTTTCCCTACTGTGCAGCTTGTTCTCCTGTTCTCCTCCCTGCTCGGGTTGTTCAGACACTCAACCTTAATGTTCATGAACTTGGCAACCAGATTAAACCCCACCAAGGTTCTCTCTCTCTCTCTCAACTTATTGCTCAAGCTATTCTAATTTCATAAAGTTAGACATACAATGCGTCATGGGACGATTTAATGAAATTTGAAGTCGGGTATTGTGCAAATATTATTAAGAAGGATCGAGAGTCAGGTCGATGACCATGTTAGTATTTTCATCCAATTTATTTATTCATTTGCAGATCTTAAAAAGAACATGAAAGGTGACAACAAGATGGTGAAAATTAAACAGAGAAATGACTGTTCGCCAGAGATATTTCTCCCCAAGGAATGGACTTACTAGCTCTTGAAGAAAAGATTTCATAAAACAGAAGCTCTGCTCGATCTAGTCTATAGCTATTTGTACGCTTACAATAATCATTAAACTTCTGTAATCTAAATAATAACAGCATTTGCAATAATAATAAAAGTGAATTTCATCCTCGTTTGTTGCAATAATAATAATAATAATTAAATTTTATATATTTTCCGACGAAAATTTGATCTTCTACTCTTGTAACATTTGAGCTTTAGCCTCTGTTTGATTTTGCTATAAATCAAAATTTTAGTAGATTTTAATTAAAATCGGTGAAATGTGTGGCTAAAAATTAACTTAAATGAACTTATATTATGATTTACCGTTGTAATTTTTGTCTATGAGCTTGTTTGGGAGTGATTTTTGGGGGGAAGAATTGATTTATAAATTCTCATTTTCAATCATATATTTTTCAATAAAATAATATTTTTCATTACATCAATAATTTTTTCTTCTTTTTCAACCACACATTTCCCATCATATCACTATTCAAAATCAATTCTTCCCCCAAAAATCTTTCCCAAACAAGCTCTATAATTGGAATAAATCATATTCATGTTTGGTGTACAATATTATTGACAACATGTCACGTGCCATGTTGTCATTAAACAGTTTAAAAAATAATTTATCTTTACAATCAACATTTTTTTGCCACCTTCAACATTTTCAACAATGTTGTAAAAAAAATGTTGTACAAATAGATTTATCTTAAGAGTGTGTTTGGTAGGGATTTTTTGGGGAAGAATTGATTTTTGAATAGTGATATGATGGGAAATGTGTGGTTGAAAAAGAAGAAAATATAATTGATGTGATGGAAAATATTATTTTATTGAAGAATGTGTGGTTGAAAATAAGAATTGATTTACTGTAGATAAATCTAAATCCCTCCCAAACAGGGCCTATATATGAATAATTTGTTAGCATAGTTTGTGCGTTCTTAGGTTCAAATCTCGTGAGTCGGATTTTCTTCAAAATTGCTTATTGTACTATTTGTTTCATTCGACTTAAATTTGTTTTAAAATGGTCATTCAACTTAAATTCTTGTTCAATTTAACGGCTATGCCCATCTCTCTAATTAAAACTGCGGGATTTTTTATAGTATCAGTTGGAGTCTTGTTGAAACTTATTCGTTATCAATTTGTTAATTTGGCCTCAAAAATACTATAATTTAACGTCAAATTAGCTCCATTCACAATTACTTATGCGCTAAGGTTTATCCCTCTTCACTTGCAATATTTTTATAGCGTGAGTTGGAGTCTTGTTGAGACTTATTCATTATCAAATTTGTTAATATGGCTACAAAAATACTACAATTTGACGTCAAATTAGCTCCACGTCGCTCATTTGTCTCGAAACAAAAGTAAGTTCAGTTTTGAGGCATATTGAAGATTGGTAACTGATATGAAACAAATTCATAAGTTGGGGGACCCCCATCTGAAATTTCCGGAAAAATATGTAATAAACCCTTTCAGATAAAACTTTCCTGTTGCTTTGCTTAACTCATAGCAGCGCTTCAGCATGGAAGCAGTTCTTTTCAATTCTCAAACCCATCTCTTTACTGGTATTAAATTATTCCATAATTTTATTTTTAATAGGCAGTACTTGACGGAATTGGACGGGTTTGAACAGTACCATGAACAAGTCTAATGCTGTCAAGTTCCATCTGTACCAAACATATACTTGCCGGAGTTTCAATCTTATATTACTCTAATTTTGTAATTTCATATGGGTTTTGATCACATCTTATTCCGATTTCATTTGGCTAAATTTTGTTATTTCTCTTTGTTTTTCTGCATGCAGGCAAGCATGCTGTGCCTAATCTCCAATTCTGTAAGCCGCCATCGTCTAGAACTCAATTATCCCTCAGGAAAAAATCTTCTGAGTTAAGTGGGAGGAGAATTTATTTATTAAAAAAGCGTTCTTTCCGGAATGGAATTGAAAGATTTTCATTTCAACATTTTTCGGATAATCTACCAAGTGTCTGTAGAAATGTCAAGGCCGCTGCAGCTGCTGAATCTTTGAATTATGAACACTTCATACCAAAGACTGATAATGGACCTGCACGGGATGTCAACAAATTTGGGGTTTTTGAGCCCAGGAGCATGGCATTTAGGAATAAGTTCTTGAATTTTGTACGGATCGGTTCCATAATTAATAATGCTGCAGAATCGTTTTTCAAAAGTGAGATAAGGAGGCGGTTGTTTGTGACTGCTACACTATTAGTAATGAGCCGTGTTGGATATTTCATTCCATTACCTGGTTTCGATAGGAGGTTGATACCGGAAAACTACCTCAGCTTTGTCTCGGGGTCTGTTGGTGAGTCATTTTTTAACTCTATTATATTGCATCCAGTGTCGTTGTGTATTCTATTTGTAATTGTTCTTTTGGGTTATTTTCTGTGTGAACAGGGAATAAATCAACTATATATATGAATATATTTTTTCTTCCATCGGTTGCCCTTATGTCTTCTTTAATTTAGAATTTTTGGCTTCACATTTTCTTTAGATATCGTGTTTTGAACATATAGTGTGCTTTTATTTGTGTTGTAACTTGTGGGAAGAAATATTATACAAAATTGCCATCGACTTTCTTCAATTGAGTCCTCATACCATGTTTTCTACAAAAAATTAAAAAATAAGGGGAAGGAGGGAAATATCGCTCTCCTATGGGATATGCAACAGTTGAAATTTTATCTTATTTATTTCACAAATGATGAAAAAGTGAGTGATTGGGACTTTACCCGTGCTGGCTCGGGGTGTTGCAAGCATGCGGAGGGAGCGCCATTCAGATGTAACTTTATAGCCATGCTTGAAAATATGAAATTTAAACTGAGTGAGGTATTTTGGTTATTTTTCACACATTTGCTTCATCTGAACCTTTACATAGTTGTAGACGAAACATTACAGAAGTGTAGTCCAGAAAGATTGAGCATTCACCGCATCTTGTTTTCTTTTTCCAACTTTTTCTCATTGAACAAGGGGTTTCACTAATTCAAATTACCTTCTTGCCTTTATATCTTGCTGTACTTTATTCTTTTACCTTCAGCCTACAATTTTTTCATGAGCTTTTATATTATTTCTTAATTTATTCCATAATTGAGGCAATTCTTTGGCTTCTGGTAGAATTTTAAAAGCATTCCTCAAGTTCTGAAGTTGAGTGATATTTTATGAATTTTGGCTCAGTTTGAACAAAGTCATCAATTTCATGGTAAAGAATGTGCTTTCTAATCATCTAATGTATTTAAACTATATTAATCTATTTCATCCAGGAGGATATTGCTAAACACGTGAATGTTAAGGATTAGTGTTTGATGAAAGGAAGCATATTTTAGACAAGGACAGGGACAATATTGTAATATCGGTTGTACTAAATTGTTAGTATAGTGTTCTTCGTTATCTTTATTTTTTCATACTATAGTAATAATCAATTTGTTTCTCAGGGAGATTGATTTGAAGATTTGTTGTTTGATGGTCTAAAAATGAATGATGTAATTCATGTCCATATCATCTTGTATTCTCATTCACAGTGTTTAAACAAATTGATACCGTGCTAAGTGCTGAATGTATTGGGCAATTGTAGTGGGGTTTAGAATGAAGTGAGCCAGCTTGTTCATGTTGAGATATGAAAATTTATTTCCACTAATTTCCTTTTTCAGATCACAAATTCATTTTTAATTAATAATAATAATTTTTTAGACTCCTCTGAATAAATCGTGCTAGGATTGTCTTCTTTAAAAAATAATTCTTATTGTTTTTCTTCAAATACAAACAGTCAATAAACACTTGGATTATCCTATGCATTGGTTAATTTATATTGGATGGAAATAACAAATGAGATTAGATGGTTAGCTGGTGAGAGCTGGAAACACATTGCGTTTCCATGGAATAATTGATAACCTAACTGAGGCTTGGTGTCAATTTCATTCCTCTTTAAATATCTTTTCATTTAATGGTTTTGCAGATGAACTTGGTGATTTAACGCCAGAACTTAAGCTTTCTCTTTTCCAGCTTGGAATCAGTCCTCAAATAGGTGCATCAATCCTAATGCAGGTTTGCTGACTTTCAATCAGAGTATAATGCCGTTAAATTATATTTCTAATAGCTGTATTTGCATGCCAAAGGAAGTTCCTGCAATTATTTTCCTCTTTCTGTATTTCCGTGTATCTATTGGAGTTAAATGTGCAATTAAACCAAAAGTTTTCTTTTTTCATGGGGTCTACATGTTGTTGACATTTACTGCATTATTGGTGTGTCACACTTTAAGTTTCAATAAGTGCATCATGTCATGTTAGTGTCATGCAACTTTCTTTGTGCTTCTTAACTTGCAGAACAATATTGATTTGTTAACTGCAGATATCTGACTGTAATATGCATTCAAAGTGCATTAATATTGAACAGTTTAAAGTTTTTCAAGCAAGTAGAGCCAATCACAGCAGACCCCTAATTCTGTCAATATAATATAAATCAGAATTCGCTTTCTTATGTTTTAACACATAAACATCACCTCCAAATCTATATATGCTTCATGTCGTTATCAACTTTTGTTAGTTCGAGAAGGTTCTCACCTTTACGGAATACATTTCTGGAGATCCATTCCATTGACTTCTTTTAGAAAAGTAACGCCTTCTACAGAAACACCACAAAATGCTGGAAAATGCCAGAATGTCCTTAAAATCTGGAAATTTCCATAACATCTTGTCAAGCTTAATTTATGTCCGCAAGTTATGGAAATAAAGATCCTAATTTACCTGCTTGTTTTAAAGTTAAATATAGGAGTGAAATGTCTTAACTTTCTTTTTATTTTAAGGTAATTATCGTCTTGAGATATAGGTTTATCCTAGTTTGAGTTTGTTAAAGTTCATCTACTAGTTGGATTATAATTAATATCCTAGTATATTCCAGACTACTAGTCTCTAAGTAGTCCCTGTGATGAAACAGTTTAATATGTATTTGATTATTAATAGGGATAACTCAGATTTCTTTCCATTGTTATCTTTTTCTCTTTAGATTCTATGTCTATCGTTCTCTTTTCTTTCTCTACTGTCATGCCTCAGCAAGGCTCCAAAGACCTACCTTTCTTCCCTTAGATGCGGAAATAATGGTATCTGTTCCCGAATCTGACTCCTTCGTATCTAAGTTGCTCGAAAGCTTTTCAATCCTCTTCTCCCTAGGTTTAGGGGGGAGTAAAAGAGACATAAATCAGGAAGTAATGCTGGATTTACCAGAGCGAACTTCTGGCTAGGTGCTATGCTATCCTTTCTAGTTAGCACAATCTGCCTGCGGTTATTTCCAAACATTTAAGTCATAATCAATATCACATTATGTATCTTTTATTTGTCAGTTGCTGTACATTCTTTTGAGTATTATTTGTTTGGCAAATGAACATGCAATTAGCAAATGCATTATGTATGGAAGTTGAATACATAGCTTTGGCCTTGTAATTGTTCTCAAGCTAACTTTTATCTCTTTGTAATGCTCTAGCCTTGAGTATGGTGGTAATTATAATAAATGTCATGTTCAGGTGCTTTGTCATGTGATTCCTTCATTAGTGAAGCTGCGGAAGGAAGGCTTAGATGGTCATGAGAAGATCAAAAGTTATATGTGTGTCTACTTACTCATTTCAAGCCGTGAGACGAGCCCTCATGAATTCCTTTCCATTTACATCATTGTTAACATTACATACAGTTTGCTTTAAGCTTTATGGATTACTTCATCTCTTTCAGATGGTGGATCTCTCTCGGGTTTGCAATACTGGAAGCTGTGATACTTTCTTGCTATTCACTTCCATATTCGATCTATGCAGCCAGTCACAGGTAATCACGGTAGAAGAAATTCATTTTAAACTATGATCTTACACAAATAATTTATATTTTACTTTGGCAAGTTATATTTGGAAATACATCCATGCTCACTTTATTATTATTATTATTATTATTATAATATTTTGAGTGGCGGTGTGAGGTGGGAATGCGGAGTTCGCGGATGGAGAGTGGCCATCTGAATTTTTCCATTCACATTTTCTCTGTTTGCAAGATGTACTTTCTTTAAGACATTAGCATATCATTCTCATTTGAGGAGATTTTGACAAGCAGATGGTCATTTTTGTATTTGGTAGTCTGAACTTTTTTAAACGTACAACTTGTCAATTTGTCTTGGAACTGATTAAACTTTTATTAAGTTTCACTGTTATTGTTCAATTTTTTGGTGAATCTTTTCTTTTTTTTTTATTCTGTAATCAGTGCTAATACTATCGTTATCATTTATGTTTCTGTTCCTTTAAAGTTACAAGATTCATTGAAATTTTCTACATGTTGATATATTGCTTTTTCTTCACATCACGTCCCTTTCTACATGGAGTTAATCACTAAGGTCTAAACACGTATAGTTTGGTGGAGTGAGTGAAATGAGTTTGATGTTTTAATTTTTTGATCATAATAGTCTACTATGATGGTATTTTTTTTTTTTTTTGGTATATCCGATGGTGCAAATAACTTGGTAATGCGAATTTATTGTTAGAGAGTTATTTTTTGCCTGTGGTAGTTTGTTTGTATGCATCTAAAGAGAAAGAAAATGCTTCCTTTGAAACAATGTGTGCAGTAAAAATTAGGAAAAAAAAGTGTAACCATTTTTTTGCCAATTGATTCAGATAAACGATTAGTAGTTGCAACTTGTAATTGCAGATTGGATCTGGTTTTCTACTAGTGTTGATTGGATTTGATCTAGAATGTTCTTATATGCAACCCAACCATAGGGACACATTTTCCTTGTACATTATTCATATTTCTTTGTTCTTTATTTATTGGGAGAAGATATCCATATCAGTTTGCTTTATGACCTGTGAGTGTCACCAAGTGTTTTCCTATCATCTTCAAGCGGCTGATTTATTGACATGATGAAATTGGCTTTGCTATGTATATGCTGTTTTCAGGGTAAAACATGTGACAGTGACGACTTTGCTGCTGGTGTGTGGTGCAATGACTACGACATGGATCTGTGACAAGATTTCAGAGTCTGGATTTGGTATTTTCCAGGGCGTGTCCCTTGGTTTTTCTTTTTTTGTCTTTCTAATTATAGCACCATGTTGTAATTTTCTTGCTTGTCTTGATATTCTGTCAATTTGACCTTTGTCATTGGAATTTCCTGGCAACTTGATATGCCACTGGCTTCTGTTCGTTGGGAAATTGGATTAACATCTGTCAAAGATGAGATATCAACTCCATTTAGAGTTTGTTTGGGAGAGATTTTTCCAAGTGATTTTTTTTTTGGGAGAATGTGAGGTTAAAAAATAGGGAAAAGTAATGGGTTCCATAGAATGTGTAGTCGAAAATGATTTAAAAAATAATCTCTCCCAAACAAACTTTTAATTGTTATTAGTTTTCCACATGAACTGTATTTTTCTTGTCATGTTTGCAGAATATTATTTAGCTCTCTAATAAGTAATGCATGGTCAGGTCAAGGATCTTCTTTGATTATCTGTGTGAGCATTTTGACTGGCTACACGGATACGCTGTACAAAATGTTAACTCAGCTCACAGGTGAGTGCCAGAAACCACATCGCCATTACCTTCTGTGGGTACAAATAATAATTTTGTGGTGCTGTATTCTATTTTTGTTGTTTTATTTGATCAAACAATGCATGCTTACAATGCATCTTTCTCATGGTCACACGCAGCTTCATTCAGTATATTCTTGTTATTTAGTTGTGCAATAGAGAAGAATATTATCTATAAATCTGTACTTCCCAATTTACTACTAGTCTTCACATGTTTGAGTATCCTGGTAGGATAGTGCTAGTTTGGTTTTACTTGCATGAATGCAAGCTATTATTCTCTTTCATAGAAATTGTTTGCCATTCCGCTTGTGAAAAACTTGGGAATTATTTCTCTCTTATCCCTGCTACTGGTAGGAATTTCCTTGAAAATTAAAAATTTATGCATTAACTTGTCAAGTGTCGTACAAATAACCATTATATGTAAAAAGTACTATCTGCATTATACCATGGATGACTGGAGACATAACAGTAGCATTAATTTTGCATTTTAAATTGTGGGTTAAAATTTGATGTATGATTGTGAAAAAGATAGTGACCAACACTTGATGCTTGCTTTTCCACTGGGAAGTTTTCTAACCTTGTACCCTTGGCTGAGAAAATGATTGCATATTATGTCATATCTTCCAAGTATTAATGTATTAAATTTCATTTTGGAATTTTAACCTGCTGCAGGAAGTGCTTTGAGCTGGTGGCCCTACATACTTACAGTAGTAGGAATTTTCACTGTAGTGACTATGTGGGCAGTTGTCGTAACTGAGGGTTGCAGGAAAATCAAGCTGCAATATTATGGTTTCAAACTTGCTTCTGCGGCCAGGTGAAACTTAATATTGTGTTAAGCTGTTATCACCTTGTAATAATGATATCATAGCACGAACATTTAGCTGGCAAATTAGCCTGCTCGAAAGAGTTGTGTACTCTTCAAGCCCAACTTGAAATCAAAGAAGTCATGGAAAATTCTCAAACTTCACCAATCACACCTTTGAGCAGAACTCGAAGGTGCTCACAAAATTGAGCCTCGCCTGGACGGCTTTGTTCATTTTGACAATATTTAACTGTAACTATCCCACATTCTGGTGGAACTGAACTAATCTCATGAGCTTAAGATTGTAATCAAGCTTTGGCGATTATCAATGAGCCCCGAGAGTTCAACTAGAGCATATTTACAGAACACTGTAGTAGTATTTGGTATGGAGCTGGCGTCTGAGAATTGGATTGAGTCCTTCAGATTTTGATATCTAAATTGGAATTCTGTCCCAATACTTAATTTTTCAACTTATGCATAAAATTTGCATCAATCTTTACCAAAAGTGCACCTATTGAGACATGGCACCTTTAGTCCATTTTCTGAGTAAAATTTTGCAAAAGCTTTATTACTTCTTTATGAGAAAAGCCCCACACTCTCTCTCTCTCTCTCTCTCTCTCTCTTGCACGCTTCTTTTTTCCAACTTATTATTTTATTGGTTAAGGAAAAGGAGATGTATATGAGCAGCTTTTTTTAATGGGATAAAGACTGAACTTTCCAATCCAATGCAGACACTAGGACCTATGGCCTAAACTATAGAGCTTAGAGTGGAATGGGTCCACCGGGTTGATATTTTTTTAACAGGAGTTAAGTGGCTTATCATGGTTCAGTTTTTGATAAATAATAATCGCAGCTAGAACCATTTGCCTCCTCAAAATATTCAAGTTGAGAACCGGAGAACACTATATGCGGCCAAAAAATGCACTACTTGAAGGAAAATGGGGGGTGGAGGCAGATAAGACCCTACAAGATAAATTAGCGAATGAGTGAAAGGATTGCATCACCAATCTGATTTTAAAAAGTGCTTTATAAATCTGAACTCATATCTGATCCTGGTCAAGAGCTGATTGTACTGGAATTTCGTACCTCCTTGAAATTTTTAAATATTTATGCTGTGCCATCAATTTAATTGCTCTAATAGAACTTATTTCTAGTAGTGCATTAACATTGGGACTGCTCATTGAATGATATGTTTGGAGTTTCGAGATTTTCTAATGATCGTACTGACATTCATTGTTAAATGTGCTTTTGGCAGAGAAGATTCTCCTATGACTGAAGTCGAACCATATATCCCATTCAACATAAATCCTTCCGGAATGCAGCCTGTTCTCACTACATCATATCTCCTGGCGTTCCCTAGCATCCTTGCAGGGTATTATTTGAGATGATGCCGTTGCTTATCATATGTTTATTTGGGAGTATATGTGTAACAACTCGACCTAATTATATCTCCTGGAGTATATGATTCCATATATGTTAACTACAATATGGAATCAATTTCTAGTGATATTCAGAGTTACGGTCACTTTTCTTATTTGCGTGCAAGTGATTTGCCATTGGTTTTTTTTTTTTTTTTTGCAGTCTTCTTGGCTCACGCTTTTGGGAATATGTTAGAGATATCTTGAATCCTGAAACTTCTCGTGGTGCAGAACCCTGGGTTTTTTATTCAATTTATGCATTCTTCGTGTTCCTCTTTAATATATTTGACATTGTAAGTATTCTAAACCTAAATATTTACTGAAATATCATTTTATGCAGTTTGATGTGTTTGAAATGTGACATGTACTACAAAGTAGGTCTATTAGCATGTGCACGTTTTTTTTTCCTTTTGATGATTGCACGAGAAAATTGAATTTGTGAAAGTATTTTGATGATTGCGTGAGATAATTGAATTTGTGAAAGTATCTGCAATCTCTTTGCATATCCTCACTTTAGTATGGATGAAATGTTGTTGCATTTTAGTCAAGTGGGAAAAAAAAAGGAGAGAACCAATCAGCTAATATATTTTATATTTGGACTTTTTAATTGAACAGTATATTAACTATTCAGAAATGTTTCTTACGTGCTTGATGAAGGAAGCATTTGGATGTGGAAAACTCCAGATTTTCTAAATCTTTTAAGCAATTATAAATACACTGACAAGTTGACATCTGTTTCAGAAATTTAATCCATTTGTTTTCAAAGTTTACACTGGTGTACAAGGAAGTTTTGATACGTGTTTCCTTATTTCCAAAAATGGATAATCTTATCCAGTATATGATATAATTGCATTTATTTTGTGCCATGACTGGATATTTTACTCTTGAAAAAGCTTTTGCCTTGTGAATTATTTGTCCCACATCTTATCCAGAACCCCTCTTTTATAAGGGGCTGATGCATTCCTTGTAGAGTTCTGAAGAGTGTACCAAAAATATGGCTTGATTGGTATGCATTAATACGTAATATATAATTCATTAAGACACTGGTGCATTATTCGAAGACTTATAGAAAAATTTGGCAAAAACTAGTCTCTTTTTTGATATGTACATTTAGAATTTAATGGACTGTGAATTATAATAAGTGGCAGAATTGCATCTGGAAAAAAGGTACCTCTCTTTCACAACTTACCTATAACAACTTTTCAGGCCAATATGCCGAAGGAAATTGCTGATTACTTGAACAAAATGGGTGCAAGAATTCCAAATATAAAGCCTGGGAAGGCTACCATTGAGTATTTGACACAGATACAAGCATCAACACGCTTTTGGGGTACAATGATCTCCATAGTTCCATTGTATTTCATAGTTTTAATGCCATTTACTTACACCAGATTTGCTCCCTCTCTTCCTCTCTTTGTGCTGTGGTGATTATTTTGCAGGTGGCTTGTTGCTAAGTGTTTTGGCTACTATATCTACCATTCTTGATCATTATTTACGCAGTATCAATGAGGGGTTTTCTATAGGATTCACTTCTATTCTAATTATTGTAAGTTCATTATTTTCGGGCATGGCATTCGCGTTTTTACATTATGTATTCCTTCCTTTCCGTACTCTGATTTTTTCTGCATTTATCTGTTCCGTCCACATTTACATGCTTCTTCAGCAGTTTATCCTTTCACTGCAAATGTCAAGTTGATGCCAAAAACAATATTGTTTCTTCAATGTTCATTTAACCCAATTCCCTTTTTTTTCTCTGTACGTTTTCAGGTGGGTTCAATCATCGAATTGAGAAGATCCTATCAAGCCTATAACGTAATGCCAAGTCTAAGCAAAGCATTAAATCGGTATGGTGTGTGACATATGAAGAGACCATCATGGTTTGAGGTTGCACAACTTTTACTGTGGCATAGTACACTATCGACTTTCAGAAGTCAATGCTTCATTATGATTGAGATGCCATTCAAGGAAAAAAGGGGTCTTCTCAAATTTGTTCGTTGAACAAGTTTTTCCTTCTAAATGGAATTATGGAAGTGGTCTATCTTACAACTCAAGATGAGGTACCTCGTCTTATCATGTCAATGCAAGTATATTTTAAGCGTCGTCCACAGTCTATAGAAAATGTCGTATGGAAATATGTCCACAGAATGAATAGAGAGATGTGTAAACTTAGATCGTTAGTGTTGCAGATGTAATCTTGTAACTAGGAGATTAGGTAGTTTCGAGGCAAACCGAACAATGCGAAATTTTGCCTACATGACTTGCCTTTGGAGATCTTATGTTTTAGATTTTGTATTATAAATTTTTTAGTTAATTTTATGAATTGGAATTGAATAAGATTAGAGGATACTGAATTCTCGATGTTGTATTCACACCTCTACCATTTTGTTGAAGCAAAATTCTTCTCAACTTTTGTTCGAGATCATAGGTGTCGTTATTTGAGTTGACGGTTTACCACTTGTGCATATAGAACTGTTGCACCGAATCTTTTCTCGTACTCGAGGTGCTGCAAACATGGAAGAAGATAAAGTTGGAATGGAAGATGGGCATATAAATTTTTAATGAAAATAAAAAGTTAATTTTATATAACAAATTATTGAGATACTTCCTTTTTAATAATTAATAATCTCCCATGTAGAGTGTGTACGATTCCTAATTTACACGTTTACGTCATGCTGAATTTGGAAACATCATTTTTTCCTCCTTTTTTTCTTTTTCACTTAATATTAATTTAAACAAGAAATTTATATTTCGATTAAAGATTTTTTTTAATTTATATTTCGATTAAAGATTTTTTTTTTCTTTCTCACGTGCAAAAATAGTTGTCTGAACACGTAAAGAACATGTACCATTGATCTCGCTCGAGCGAACGTCTACATGGTGAGCGATGTTACCGCTCGAGCGAACAACTACATAGTTGTTTCTGTTTTTCTTTTGGTGCATATTTATGTATTAATTAATGAAAGATGGAGAATAATAATGCGATTAAAAAGTACTATTCTAATTGCAACAATACGACCTCGTTTAAGCCTCGTTTTTAAAAAGTACACTTTTCTCCAAATTTATTTCCAATTTCACGTTCATTTAAGGACTTCTATTGAGGTTTTTTTCTTTAGTGCTTATTTGGTAGGGATTTTTTGAGGAAGAATTGATTTTTGAATAGTGATATGATGAGAAATGTATGGTTGAAGAAGAAGAAAAATTTATTGATGTGATGTAAAATATTATTTTAATGAAAAATGTATAGTTAAAAATGAGAAATGATTTACTGTAAAATTTGAGAATAAAAAATAAATAGGCCCTTATTTAAAATAATTAGATATGTCTGACGTGTTGACTTTTCGCTTGGGCCACATCAATTTCCTTTTACTTAGTAGCTAAGGTTTGGTTGTTGGACTAAATTCGTTTAATCTACATTATTATCTCATTAAAATAAAAAATATGACTGTTATTCATCACATCAATATTTAAATTTCAATTTTTTATCTCTTACGTGGGCTTCAATAACAACTATATTTTTCATTCTTATTCTATAATAATTTGCCTCAAACAGGGCCTAAAATAGATTTTTAATAAATTTTAATAAAAGTTGATGAAAGATATAATTAAAAAATTAAGAATTCTATAAAATGTATGATATGATTAAAATAAATTATTGACTTTAACTTAAATTAGAATTTATTGAATTGAGGCTAAGATATTTTATTTTAAAAAAATGAAAAAAAAAAAAAAGATAGAGATTGGAGAAAAATAGAGAGCTTCTCTAGTATCAGGATTGTACCTTAGTCCGAGTGAGGACAAATTCAAATAAAAATGTCAAATGCTAAAGATGTACAAACGTTTTACCTTCCCTTCTGTACACTTGCCCCCACCTTTGTATTCCCCCAAAATGATCATGACATATATTGTATCCTCCTCTGTTCCTCCTCATTCACAGAGACGATCAGACGAATTTGAAAGGTTTGTATTAATTTTCTTTTCTTTTCTTTTCTTTTTTTTAATATTTTTTTTACTGATAGAGAACGATCTTTGATATTGTTATTGTTACGATTATTATATTTTGTGTTTATTTTTTTAATGAAGTTCACCATTTTCTTGATGACCAAGTATATGTGTATAAAGTTAAACTGAAGGGTTAGGGTTTTCAAGTTCGTGCATGCTGTTCACCACTCCGTATGTAATATACGCTTGCATGTCGTACTTTATTTTATCTGTTAATAAGATTTGGAATTACCGTGTGATTGGGTATTAAAATTTAGTTGTTTATTTTCAGAATTGATTAGTAGAATTTGAGGATGGGATTCAAGAAAGTATATAAGGTGTTGCAGGAAATTTTTCCACAGGTAAGTTTAGGAGTTTGAGTTTCTGTGTTTTATTTGCAATTATTGTTGATTTTTGTCTGATTATTTAGTCACTTGTTAAGGGTTCACCCTTAGTATTTGACAGCGCATGGATTCTTTTTGTAAGAAGAAGGGATCGGATAATAACCTGAATTCGTGTGTTTCTTTAATTCCTTTCTGTGGGACAGATTGATTCTCGAGTTCTTAGAGCTGTTGCAATTGAGCATAGTAATGATGCTGATGCCGCTGTTGAGGCAGTTCTTGTGGAGATTATTCCCCTTTTTACTGAAAGATCTAGACAAACGAATTCTTCTGGTGAAAATAGGAACTTGGCCGAGTCACCTAAAGGTATCACTTTTCCCAATTACAATGCTCAAATTTGTTTCTTTATTGATTTTATTATATCTCAAGGATGTATTGAGAGTATATATTGACGGTTGAGCTATCATTACGAGTTTTATCTGGTGTGCTGTCTTGACTGTATAACAGCAATTGTAGAACCTGTAGCAACTGCTTGGATCAAGGATGCATCGACTGTGAACACAAAGGGTTCAGCTGAAGAGCAAAATGGTTCAGCATCTTGTGATGTGAGCTTTAGAGTTAAGCAATCATTCCATGGTGCAAACGATGCCAATGATGGACATAATGAGCCCTTTTATGACACATATAGTGAAATTCTTGAAGAATGTGGGGACAGTGGGATTGCCGAATTGATCTCATCGGTGCAATGTGATGAAAATAGTGTTAAGCTTAGTGTGGATGTGTCATCTCATGTTGAACCTGTCATTGTGATGGATGAAAATAGAGCAAATAATCATCATGAAGTGTCTGGAGACCCTGAAAGAGAGGCATCGGTTTCCGTTGAGAAGTGCTCAGAAAGCAGTGCTAAGACTCTGTTTGATCAGAGTTCTCGTCACACATTGGGATCTTCAAATGATAGGGATACATGTTTTGATCAAAATGTGCATGGTTGTATGCAGGATTTGGAAAATGCTGTTGGACTAGACCGAGATTGCAACACAGGTATCCTTGAAGACAATTATCGGGGAAAATCTTGTCAAGATGGGAATCAATTGGAGGTGATGAATTTCGTTGATCAGCCTATTTCATTAACAGCTAATGATCTAACTTCGAGTCCTTCAGAAAGCAGTGCCCATTTGGTAGTGGTGAGTGATATGCAAAACACCAATTTAGAGCAATCAGAAATAATGCAATTAAGCGATGATGCTTCTAAGGTGGAAGCTACTAGTGAAATGGTTGATATTGAAGAAGAGTATACCTTGAACACCATGGTGTCCCAATCTGCCCAAATGTGTAGCATTGATTTTCTCGAGGAAATCATCTCAGATGCGAGAAATAACAAGGTTATAACAATTTTAAACTCTGGTAGCTTATGGGTTTTAGTTATATTAATTCCTTTGGAGTATTTAATGTTTTAATGCTTTTACTGACTTCTTGGTGTCTATATGCCCTTGTGCCAGAAAATTAAAGTAAAATTTTCAAATTATTCTTCTTTTTTATAAAAATGCTATCTAGCCCCAATAGGGTTAAGCATAATCTAAGTGGCAGCAGGGCAAAATGAAATATGTTTGCTGCCTAATATTTTTATTTATGCAAAAATGTCCTCTAGGCAAAGTTGACAAGATTCTTGACAAGATATAATTTATTATTTACACTGAAGAGGAAGGCAGAGATGCCCAAATTGACTAGAGACTCTTGTCAACTTCGCCCAGATGGTTCGAAATTTGTGCGAAAGGAAGAAAAAGAACTTGGTAACAATTTAGAAAAGAAAACAATATCTTTTGAAGAATTGACAAAAACTTCGAAACTATGGACATTTTGGGAAAATGGGAAGTGGTGGACACATTTCACTCTCTCTCTCTCTCTTAAAGTGACCTCTCGTAATTTCCTCGAAAATTAATCATCTTAGGATATCCTCAAGACATGATCTTCCATGAGGATGTTACACCATATGCTTCACATTATCCCCTTTTTGTACAATTGCGTCAGATTTAGTAAATCATTAAATGAAGAGTAATAATTAGTGGTAAGCAAAGGAAAATCACATATGCCATTTTTCATGAGTCCATTTGTGATCCACTTTTTGTGAGTCGATTGTGATCTTGGTTGCCTAGATTATGTGAGGCTCCTGTGATATTTTCAATAATCAGATGGAATTTTGCAAGGAGTTCTGTGTGTTTGAGGCTCGATGTTAGAATTTGTGCCATTTTTATTCTAAATAGGGAAGCATATTGGGGTTTGATATACTCAGTTGATTATCGAAATTTGAGTCACGCAATGATATGCTTTATGCTTTGAATATGTAGTTTTTGAAATAAGAATGGGGAAGATAACATGCTTGATTATTTTTGCTTATTATATTAGTACTTGAGTTTCTTCTGTTGGAGCTTATTAATTGATAGTGAACCTTGATATGTTATGGTGCAGAAAACAATGTTTTCAGTTATGGAATCTGTTATTAGCTTAATGAAGGAAGTGGAACTCAAAGAAAAGGATGCTGAACAAGCAAAAGAGGCTGCTGCTAAGGGGGGGTTTGATATACTGAGTCGAGCTGAAGACCTTAAGAAAATGCTACAACATGCAAAGGAGGCAAATGACATGGTTGCATCTTGTCACCAAAAATACAATTGTGGTGACATATATGTTTACTGACAGAAATATCACGTTCCTTTATTATTGCAGCATGCTGGTGAAGTATATGGTGAGAAGGCCATCCTAGCTACTGAGTTGAGAGAGCTCCAGTCTCGGGTTATCTCCTTGTCAGACGAAAGGGATAAATCCCTTGCAATTCTTGATGAGGTGAAATTAATCCCTACCCTTTGCATTGTTAAAAAAAAGGATAAATCTGGTATCAAGGCATATATAGTTGCCATTTTTTTGTTTATAAAACTGAGAGTATTACTTTTTATTTGGTTATATTTTACTGATTAGTCTCTACTCTCTATAGAATGGACAATTTTAACATGGGTTATGTTTCCTCCTCAATGTTCCTCAATACCATAAATTTGTGTTATACTTCATTCGTGATTGGAAAAAAGGGATATGGTTATGAGGCTTGGTAGTCATATACATCTTTCTGGAAGCTCTTCATGTTTGCTTTCTTTATATTTCTTGAATTACAGAATATTTTTTCTTGCAATCTCAACATGCTGAAAGCTAGACATGCCACCATGAAATCCTGAACTGAAATGAGTTTTAAGCTACCTGAGTCAATCAATTCATGTGGTCTCAGTTTGGATCAAATCAATCTTGGTTAGATGCGTTAATTAAAGTAGCAGCACTTTTACATATTTTCATTTTCCTGCAGATTCATCAAACTCTAGAGTTGCGATTAGCTGTCGCTGAGAATGAGAGAAAATCTGCAGAGCAGGAAAGACTAGAGAAAGAAAAGTCTGCATTGAAAGCACTTGCTGACCAGGAATTAATTATGGAAAAAGTGGTGCAAGAGTCAAACATCCTGAAGCAAGAGGCAGAAGAAAATGCCAAGGTTATGACTTCCTTTCTATATTTGTACTCACATCTATTACTTTGCGTGCCTTGGGGTGGCATTTACGAAGAAGAGGATACAGCATTTTAGCCTCCGTTTGGCATATATATGAATAGTTTATAAGTAGGATAGTAAGAGAAATAGCAGTGGGTCTAACAAAATGTGTAGATAAGAATTAGTAGTTATGAATGTGTGTGAAATTAATGTTCGATTTTGACTGAATTTATAAACCAATTTATATATCTTATCTAAATGGTGTCTTATAGTTAATTATTTCATGTCTGTTATGTTGCATTTGCATAATTTTTCTTGTGTTAATGCTGTTGGATCTTATCTGATCTTCATATTGTTGTATTGCAGCTTCGGGAATTTCTTGTAGATCGTGGCCATGTCGTAGATATGTTGCAGTAAGTCATAAAAAATTCTATTTCTACTTCTCCTCTTTACGTCTTTCCAATTTCATTTTTGTTTCTGAGTCGCCATAATTCCCTTTGCTATTTTGTTAGTTGGGATTCTTGAAATGCACTGTGAATCTTCAGTGGGGTAATGAAGATAACTGCCCCTAATGTCCGTTTAAACCAACATCTGAATCATTCAAAATAGCTCAAATTGTAGTTCCATTAATTGTTACCATAAATTTTTAGGAGGAGAAAACGTATAGTGTACTTCTCAATAAAACCAATGAGGCCCCCCATCTATGTGATCTCTCTAAAGCAGTACAAATTGTTATAACGTATTTTAAGTTTTCCAGATCAATCTCGGTTGAAACAAAACGGAACTTATGTTCTCAAGCCGTGTATTTTTTATATTTCGTAATTCGTCTTATTGTCAGGAGGAATTAGATAAATTGTTCATCTTTATGATAGCTAAAATACTTACAGTAAGTTAAGTCTTTTTTTCTTGGACATCTACATCTAGAATTTAAAGCCTGTTTGTTTCTTCCAGCAGTGTGCATTGAATTTCTTATTCTATGACTTCCAGATTCCATTGTTATTGGCTGTCTCTATTTTTCAGTTGAATTGCTGCACAGCTCATATGTTTTACATTTGAATGGAGAATTTTACTTCTCCTTGAATTAACTTTCATTTATGTTCTGCCTGCTTAAGTCTGCTTGTCCTAGTTTCTCAAAAAAAAAATTTAACTGCACAAGACTTTCAGCGTTTCGTGCTCTATTATGCTATATTCTTTTATGCCTATGATCGCTAACTTTTTCCCAAGTTGATAGTTAGAGGTATCTAAACTGACGGAGCATTCCCATCCCTTATCCCTCCCTTTCTTCCAGAGGAGAGATAGCTGTAATATGTCAGGATGTGAGGCTACTAAAGGAGAACTTTGATGAACGAGTTCCATATAGCAAATCTCTTTCTTCCAGCCAGACAAGCTGCAGATTAGCTTCTTCTACCTCATCTTCCAAAAGTTTGGTTCTTCTGCAGACAGAACAGAAACAGGGATCTGATGGTGCTGATTCATCAGAGAACCCAAAGAGAGATCTGGTATGTTGTTTTGACGAGCAGCTCTCTGGAGATGAAGCTACCAGAGATGACAGCAAAGCCCTTGTAGAAGAGGGATGGGAAATTTTCGACAAGCGTGATGTTTACATGTGAGTCTATATTCGACATTCAGTTAACGAGCATGTGTGAAGTTCCGTCCTTCCATACCTGCTTCTTAGTTCCCTGCTTTCCGAAATAAATCTAATTGTTCCTGCAGTTTTGAAATGTTCATCTTCAATCTGTTCTACATGTTGCATTGTTATATTCTATGGATTCTAGATTGAATGCAGAGAAAGCTGAATTATATGTGCTGTATTAAGAATCTCTGAACCTAATTTATGGCATTTCAAGAAGCAAGAATGTATTGCCTCTCCAGTTCTTATGTCTCGTGAATGATAACTGTAGTAATTAGCTGCTTTTCTTGTGGCCACTTGCCGGATATTTTACTTGTGAAGTTTTGGAAGAATCTCCGAAAAGCATGCAGATGCATTATTCCTTCAGAATGGGAAGCGCTACAAGTGTAGAAAAGTAGTGATTTTACTTTTTCCTCAGATGAGCGCTATAGTCCTTAATGAGCGCTCATTTTCTTGACTACGTGTTGCACTTAGTTTTCATACCAATGCCTAATGTGGCAAATGCTTAGCTGACTAGACATTGAGTATCTTAGCCAATGGTAGCCGATGCCGACGACCTCACTACTCTGTCGACGACCCTGGGCCATGAGTCCATCCGTGGACTCCTAGTCCTGTCAGACCTTGGGCTGGCCTTGTTTGTGGTTAGACAGTCGTTGAAGGTCATGGCTTCTTGTATAGTTGTATTATCATCAAAAACCTCCATTATCTAAATGCTAATGTGATATACACATGATGTAAAGTTAGGAGTAGTCTAAAATTCTAGTTGAAACTGCGTACTTGTATCTTCTTAAACATTAACATAGGCTCGATGTTATGCTTCAAACTGCATTCACCCTCTTTTTGGTGGCCAATGGATTCAGTGTGCGGATTGGGGCAGTGTATTCAATTCAAGTTGTTAATAAGGAGTCAAATGGGACTGTTTGACGTTGCCAGATGCTCTGTGTTCACTCTTTCAATTTTTAAATTAAATTACATTTGAATTTGATTGTGCATTACAGTCTGTTCCAACATGTAATCACGCACTAACATAAACCAAAAATGGCTTGGAGATTGTTTTATATAACTCATCTGCCGTTAAATTTTCCCCTGCGATTCAAAGTTTATATCATTCTGGTTGCGTGCGTGCGTGCGTGTGCATAGAGCTAGAAAGAGAAGCAAAATTTGCATGTCTAATATACAGTATTGAACACGACTAGTTGGACTAGATAGAATTGAGAAAGAAGGAAAGGGCAGAGGGGTAGATTTGCATTGTTGGTCACTCACATTACTTGCAGAACTTTAGTCAATTTTTACATGTAGCTTTGTCTCTAAATTTTGCTGAGATCAGAACACACTGCAACTATTTCCCTAAACTATACATAGATTTTCAGACTCTAGCCAACACCCTAAAGGTCCTACATACATGTTTGCTGTATCTATTCCAACACTATCTGCTTGATTGTAAATTGCTTAATATCAGTCAGTCATGCCAGCAGAGCAGCAGCACTGTACATCTCCATATGATGTAAAGCTTTGCCCTCTGTTCTCTAATCTGCTTCGACAATCGATGATTCGGTCGGAGCTTCAAACTTCTCAATGTTGCTGCCATGATTGATAACAGAATTCTGTTCTTCGAGGTTTTATCAGAAAACTTTAGTTTTAGGCTGGAAAGTATTTGAAGCTTTATTTGTGGGGGTGGAGAGTTTCTTTTGAGTTCATTTGGTTTATATAAGAGAAACATTCAAGATATGAAAGCAGGAAATTGTGGTGAATGACAATCTGTGGCCCTTTTTCGTAGGGACATTCAATTAAGATAACAAAGTAGACTTGTAGCTTGTCCCCCTGCCAACCTTGCTCGAAAATGACTGGTTATCAACTTCTCCAGGTTGAGGGCCATTACTTGTCCTCCCCCACGCCACCCCAACCCTGCCGTATTAGGCCATTTGGAGTGTAATCATCATGTGTACTTATCTTTTCGACTGCAGTTATAGGGTCTTCTACATTAATATTCTCGAATTTCAATGTGTTGGTTTCTTTAGATGTGAGTTGAGACTTTAGTGTGAGATCACCTTGTGCTATTTTTTATTTTTATTTTCAAAATAGGGAAAATTCGTAGTGGCGAAGTGTCCTGGATCACTATAAATCTTTAAGTTTGTTTTGTGTGTTTTTTTTGTATTCTGTTCATAATTATTCTCATAATTAGTGATAAAAAAAATTTATCTCCAACCCACCCCCCAAAATAGGGTATGTTGTCCAAATACTCATGGTCAAAAGAGAATAATGCAGTTATTAAATTTACCTAATATTATATATTTTGTATGTCTTGGCTGTAATTAAATGGGGAAACAAAAATAGGCAAAAGAACATGCTGACAGGATAGTTTGAGATGTATAGAGAACAATAAAATATTGTTGTATAACTGGACTGCCTCGACAACGTACTGCTTTTGATTCGATTCTATAAAACATTCTTCCTTGTCCCGTGACTGTCTATTTGGTATTGGTTCATTTTGCCGAAACAATGGTATTAGAGTCGTTTATTTTTCTATAAGAATAATTAAAAAACTCAAAATTCTATTTAGTTAGTGAATTTAGTTTATTTACTAGCTTGCTATTCTTCCTAGTATTATATAAATCAAGGTTTAATTTGTAAATAAGCCCTTGTTTGTTTCTCATTATTTAAGGTGGAAAATGCATTTTTTGACCTTTTTTTCAAAGAAGCGAGTTCTACTGTGAGACAAAATTGTCAAAAAGGACAGTCGATCCTTGCTGCAACAGTAAGAATTGGCATTATAATGGGAAACAAACAGAGTGTAAAAAATCGTAAAATAAGTTCAAAATAACTCATCATTTTAAGGATTTCTTGAAAAACCTCTTAAAATACCATATAAGGAGGTAATTGAGATCGACTTAGAATGCTCGTTATGTGTCAATATATGGTATTTCATGTATATTAAGAATAATGATTGTTGTCATTGATCGTAAGATATGATTTCATTTACTAAATACTCGATGTGTAATGAGTGATTCATGATATTAAAATACATTGATAATACATTGATCGAAATATCCGACGTGTGGATTTATTTTCACAAGAGATAGGTCACCACCACTTCTATATTATCCTACCCTATCCCACGTTGACATTGAAATATCAATGACTTGCCATGTCTTAACCTCACAATCATCACGTGCACCGTGTCACAATAAATTCAACAATATTATGTTCCAAGTCAATGTTCCTACATTATTGCATTTGTCAAATGGGCCCAAATGTGAGCCCTCTATCAGACACAGTGGACCTCTTATCTCAATATCAAAGGCTTAATACTATGACATCTGTATTGGGCCATTGGCATCATGAGCCCATAATGCATATCATTCAATATCAAGGGCCCATTACCACGTGACCAGTGTCGAATTAAAGAGCAGCACTTGAAGATTCCTAACCTTATCTCAACAGGAAAAGGATTAGATGTACCACGTGCTATGCCTGTTTGTACCATACATAAAGTTGTGGTTTAAAAAATAAAAAAGTACAAATTGGAAAAGTTTGTGTGGGTGCATTGTATTAGACTATTAGAGGAGTTAAATAAGAGAATGTTGTGCATGATTACTTCTAAGAAACAATTTTGGATGTTGGAAATAATTATTGTGCGAGGACAAAATACCTACCCTCGATTTTGTGTTTTCCATTTTATTTTGAGATATAGTTTGAATGTGTCGACAAATTTATTTTACGATGACGTGTGACATCCAAAAATAAACATCACAGATATATTGAGCTCAAAGTTGGTTTCAGATTCTTTCACTAAATTTTAAATAATTGATTTTCCAAAAGCGATGGCGAGTAACATCCTCGACCAACCTTAATTTTGTCAATCCTTGTCATAGTTAAATATGTGTTGTACATTATTTTGAAATATTCAATATGTTCTATAAAAATTTTATTTTAAGATGTTAGGTCTTTATAAAAAAAAAAATGGTTATATTGCATCATATTTTCCTATGCAGTTTAAATATTGTAGGGATACAATTCTCACTTCATTCGACTTTTGATGTAATATAAATTAAAGATAACTTTAGCATAATTATCTTACGTGACTAAGGATTTTTGAAGACATTTGTAATAACGTAATTTATTTATTATTATTTTTTAATTTTTTTGCAAAATAACCCGAAAATTTTAAAGTAGAACAATTCGTTCGTACAAAGGCAGTAAAATTGTTCGCTTATCTGAATCATTTGGAACGTGGCTTTTATTTTTTATCTATGATATGTAGATGGCATGCTTGATAACCAAATAAGTCGTCCACGTATCTCTCTCCTTAATAATGTGTACTCATGTAAGATCTTTCTTTTATCGAGAGTGCTTCAGGGTCTTATCGTTTTATTTTAATCTCGTTAAGCAATTCTTACAAATTGTATTGGGTGATTTTTGAAAACCATTATACAACATTGGTATAAACATAACAAGAGTGTTTAAAATATCTCGTAGTTCTATAAATATCTATGGAGTATGACCGTATGAATCTTAGCATTTCAGCAATAATTTTCGACCACGTTCCATTTAAATCGCATGTATTTCCTTTTAATTGAATTGGCTAAGATTAAAAGGTTTAATTATTAGGATCAATCTTTATTCAATTTTTAAGAAAAAAATTGTTTCTGTGCAAAATTTCCCTTCAAATACTTTCCATTTTAAAGCCCCTTTTAAGTGCCATTTTTTTAAATCCAAAATGTATTTTGGAATAATATTTTAACGTACAATTTATTGTTTTTGAGTTTGATTGTAATATTATTTTATTAAAAAATTTGTGTTTAAAAATAAAAGAAATAAATGTATTTTAAAAATAATGAATATCAAACAAGACTTTAATTTTATTAATATAAATGAATTTTGCTATGTGTACATTCGGGATAAGGGTTGACCGTTGACACCCCAGATGATAATCCTCTCACAGGGGGTCGCAATTATTTACACGCAAACCCCTTTGTTGTGAGGGAACAGTCGTCCAAAGTGTCATACAAACAGCAAAATCCATATTAAATTACTTGTTATTTCCAATTAATTCCCTTGTAAAGCATACGGCGTCGCTTAGTTCTAATTTATTTTCTATTTTAGGGTCCTTCGAACAAATTTTTTTTTTAATATATATTCAATATCAACTCTGCTAAAATTAACAGAGCATAAACCCTAAACCCTAATGCTAATTCAAAAGCAGAACCCCGAATTCCTAGATACACAGCTTGATATTCTTCTTTGATATGCTTTTCACTTTGCATAAAAATGTTCTCTCTCTCGAGAAAAGCTACCCCCAAAACCCTCATTCTTTGGTCCCGCCTCCAATTCACAGTCCCAATTTCAAGTCTCAAAGTGGTTTGGCGTAAAGACCCAAGGCTCGACCAAGCTATCCAAAACGACAAGCAATGGCGACTTTGCGCTCGGGTTGTCAGAGAGGTCCTAAACGAACCGGGTCAAGTCATCCCGCTTCGGTACCTTGAGAAACGCCGCGAGAGGCTCCGACTACCCATCAAAATCGAAACTTTCCTGGCCCGAAATCCGGGCTTATTTGAATACTGCATGGATCGGATCAAGCCGAAATCAGATCCGGTTCGTTTCGTCCGTGCTAGTGATAGGCTTAACCAGTTTTTAGAGGAAGAGCAAAGGATTTATAGTGAAAATGAACCGTTGATTGTTTCGAAATTGTGTAAGCTGTTAATGATGGCAAAAAATAGAGTTGTCTGCGCAGATAAATTAGTCGAGGTTAAGAGGGAATTCGGGTTTCCAAATGATCTTTTAGTGAATTTGGTGCCGAAGTACCCGGAATGTTTTAGGTTATACGGGACTCCGGGTGAGGGGAAATCGTATCTAGAATTGGTTTCGTGGAATGATAATTTTGGAAAGTCAGTTATTGAGAAGAGGGCAGAGGAGGAGTCGAGGTTGATGGGGATTAGGGTGAGACCTGCGTTTAATTGGAAGCTCCCACCCGGATTTTATATTAAGAAGGAAATGAGGGAGTGGATTAGGGATTGGATGGAGCTTCCATATATCTCGCCTTATGATGATGTATCACATTTGGAGCAGGCATCTCCGGAAATGGAGAAGAGGACGGTTGGGGTTTTCCACGAGTTGCTTTCTCTATCCCTTTATAAGAGGATTCCAGTGCCTGTTTTGGGAAAATTTTGTGAAGAATATAGGTTTTCAAATGCATTCTCAAGCGTATTCACAAGGCATTCTGGGATTTTTTATATTTCGTTGAAGGGTGGGATTCAGACTGCAATGCTGAGGGAAGCATACAAGGGTGAGGAGTTGATTGACATTGATCCGCTTCTTGTGATCAAGGATAAGTTTGTTGAGTTGCTCGATGAGGGACATCGGCAGAGGGTGGAGAATATCAGGATTAAAAGGGAACTGGTTAGGAAAGAAATGGAATTCATGGCAGCTACTAGTAAAGAATACGACTCTGATGAGCAAAATGCAGAGTTATGAAACTGTAGAAAACGAAAAGGAATTCAAGCACATGGTAAAGTTAGTGCTTGTGTGAAATGAAGGTGTCCCAAATGTTTGCTCAGTTATGTTGAAAGCGCGTCTTGTTGAGGCAAGTAATATTTCTATTGGATCTACTTCAGATTAGGCTTGTGACAAGATGAGGATGTTAAATGATTTTTGTGACGAGCTTGCTTCCTCGTCACAGCAGCCAGCAACTGTAACTGAGATGGCTGGTGGACAAGTATCCTCGATGGATTTATTATACAAAAGCTGCTTTTTGGAACCCCATCTATTGGCACGTGATAATCTTTCCAAGCAGGTATAAATTTTGAGCCATATCCTGTTTTTCTCTTTTAATAAAATGGGATTGATCTATACAGCTTATATAAGATGTGTAATGTATCTTTTCCGCCTACACACAGGTCATCCATTGAGATAAGAAACTGGTTTTGATCGTTCCCGTGCGTATGAGTTTGCTGTATGGATATGCTCGTATTGCAAACGAAGGGATCAGGTAACACTCATTTTCCGCCTACCCACAGGTCATCCATTGAGATAAGTAACTGGTTTTGATCGTTCCCGTGCGTATGAGTTTGCTGTATGGATATGCTCGTATTGCAAACGAAGGGATCAGGTAAAACTCTTCTATTTGATCCTGATAACATTCTGATCGATGGTATTATTAAATTATCTGATGATATTAGAGAATGCTAAGTTTACTTTTCAGCATTTTGAAGTATATTTTTGTTATTGAGATCTGTAAATGCTTAAAGCTCTTCATTCTGATCGATGATATTAGAGTGGTTCAATTATTTATAGCATTTTGAAGCATATTTTGATTTTTGAGATCTGTAAATCTTAGTACCCTACTTCGATTATTCAAGTTTTGAAGATTGGAACTGATACACTGTACACAAAATATTCGATGCACTCTTTCCCATCATTATTAAATGGGAAAATTGCAGCTACAGTACCAAACCTTTCCAATTTTCCCAGACATTGCCCAAACCTTTGTTTTGTGCTATCGGAGGTATCAAATGTTTCAAAAATATGCACCGGAGGTTCAAATGGACGGTTTCCATCCAATTGACCGTTAGTTGACCAAGAATAGTAGATTTGGACCAATTTTGACAAAATTAGGAGGGGTAAAATGGTAACTTGACAATGTTCTCATTAAATAAACTTTTTAAAAAAAAGAAAAAAAGAAAAACTGCACTAAATTGAGTGCAAGAGCATTGACCTACCGCAGATTTATTCTCATTTTGCTAACGGAAAGTTGGAAGAACGGGGGTTTGAAAATGAGCGAGTTGTGTCCATTTTGAAGTGAAGATCAAATTAAGCTGAAATATAGACGTTTTGGGCGAAAATCAGGCCCCAAACCGCCTACCGCAGTTTGCCAACGGATTCCTCTCGAAAAAATACGTGGAATCAAAAAAAAGATTTCCCGTCGACCGAGCGCAAAGTTATGGCCATTCGAAGTTTTGCAGCTCATTTACGCAGGTTAGACGTCCTCAACCAGTTTTTTCTATGAATGAATTGCTTTCTCTTATGCCGACGACACTTTAGGCTGTTGCAGAATCTGCGTTGCCTACACTCCCCAGTCTGAGTTTTGCCGTTTTGTGGCGTGCGGTTCCCTCCCGTTAATTTGTCTCCGGTCCAGAGGCGGTGGTGGTGCTAGATTTGGGTGTTATTTTCCGCCTACCCACAGGTCATCCGTTGAGATAAGTAACTGGTTTTGATCGTTCCCGTGCGTATGAGTTTGCTGTATGGATATGCTTTTATTGTAAACGAAGGGATCAGGTAAAACTCTTCTATTTGATCCTGATAACATTCTGATCGATGGTATTATTAAATTATCTGATGATATTAGAGAATGCTAAGTTTACTCTTCAGCATTTTGAAGTATATTTTTTGTTATTGAGATCTGTAAATGCTTAAAGCTCTTCATTCTGATCGATGATATTAAAGTGGTTCAATTATTTATTGCATTTTGAAGCATATTTTGATTTTTGAGATCTGTAAATCTTAGTACCTACTTCGATTATTCAAGTTTTGAAGATTGGAACCGATACACTGTACACAAAATATTCGATGCATTCTTTCCCATCATTATTAAATGGGAAAATTGCAGCCACGGTACCAAACCTTTCCAATTTTCCCAGACATTGCCCAAACCTTTGTTTTGTGCTACCGAAGGTACCAAACGTTTCAAAAATATGCACAGGAGGTTCAAATGGACGGTTTCCGTCCAATTGACCTTTAGTTGACCAAGAATAGTAGATTTGGACCAATTTTGACAAAATTAGGAAGGGTAAAATGGTAACTTGGCAAAGTTCTCATTAAATAAATTTTTTAAAAAAAGAAAAAAAGAAAAATTGCACTAAATTGAACCCAAGAGCATTGACCTACCGCAGATTTATTCTCATTTTGCTAACGGAAATTTGGAAGAACGGGGGTTTGAAAATGAGCGAGCTGTGTCCATTTTGAAGTGAAGATCAAATTAAGCTAAAATATGGACGTTTTGGGCGAAAATTAGGCCCCAAACCGCCTACTGCAGTTTGCCAACGGATTCCTCTCGAAAAAATATGCGGAATAAAAAAAAAGATCTCCCGAAACGGTCCACCGAGAGCAAAGTTATGGCCATTCGAAGTTTTGCAGCTCATTTACGCAAGTTAGGCGTCCTCAACTAGTTTTTTCTATGAATGAATTGCTTTCTCTTATGATGATGACACTTTTTTGCTGTTGCAGAATCTGCGTTGCCTACACTCCCCAGTCTGAGTTTTGCCGTTTTGTAGCGTGCGGTTCCCTCCTGTTAATTTGTCTCCGGTCCAGAGGCGGTGGTGGTGCTGGATTTGGGTGTTTTGTTTGGGTTTGATGTGGTGGTGGCATTTTGGGGGAAATTGGTGAGAGTGGGGTTGGGGAAGGAGATAGGGTGTGGTGGCGTCGGCACAGAGGCCGCGGTGGTGTCAGCAATATGTCGGTAGTTTTGCCTGGGAAAAGAGGCGTTTATTGTGTTTTTTTTTTTTTTTTTTTTATTTTTTTATAAAATTTTGAATTAAATTTTTTTTTTTAATTTTTTAAAAAATTTATTTAGTGAGAAAATTGTCAAGTTACCATTTTACCCTGCATAATTTTGTCAACATTGTTCCAAATCTACTATTCTTGGTCAACTAACGGTCAACTAGACGGAAACCGTCCATTTGGACCTCTGGTGCATATTTTTGAAACGTGTGGTACCTCCGGTGGTACAAAACAAAGGTTTGGGCAAAGTCTGCGAAAATTGGGAAGGTTTGGTACCGTGGCTGCAATTTTCCCTTCTTAAATATTGTGAATCTTAACAAGAATGGTAATGTCTTGGGAGTCATTTTCTTATTGACATCTGAGTGGCTTGTTTAGTACAGAAGATTGGTCAATAGTAGAAAGTATTAATAAAAAAAGAGAAGTTAAAATTTTGTCAATTGTACTATTCAATTCTGGAATTTTGCATACCGACGTGCACTAGAAGTTTTTTCTTCAAGTTTGGCTTTACACAATACCTAAATCGAAGCTGATACTTTACGGAACATGCATATATCATGCAAAGTGAATTATGATTTTTAAATTAATGTGAGCTGATCCTTTTAGTTGTTTTTGCCAACTTGAATTCATACCAAATTAAGGAACATGTAAAACTGGTGATGAATATAGCAAATACCAAGTGCATAAGTAGGGGCAAGGATTATTTGATTGTTTACTCTGTTTAGCTCTTATTTTCGTGCATACTATCTTAGTTGTAACAGCCATGAATCAGGTCTTCCCCCTTATGTTTGCACTCTCTGTGATATTTCTAGGACTGTACCCCGGAACACAGAGCCAATGGGTGCCAAAACCCCCAACTTTTCCTCCACTTTGTGCAGCTCAGATTGGAACCGTAAATCGTGCGTGCTATATGCTACCATTCACATCCATCCATCCACCCTCCCATCCATCCCCGACGCCCTCTCATCCATTGCTGACTCACTCTCCTCCTTCCTCTGACAACCCAAGTGGCAGCGGTCATGGTCACAGGCATGGGCACGGGCGCAGGCACAGAGAAACGCATATTGAACATGAATGCTGCCGATGGTTAAAAGCAGTTGACACGGTCTGCGTTTGTGGATTGCTGATGCACTTGCCACCTTTTCTTTCTAGACCCCAACACAATTACACTGTCGTTGTTGAAGATTCATGTAATGTGACTTTCCAGTGCGGATCAAGCTGGATGAAGGTCTAAATGTTCTGTTACTGTTCGAGAGTAACATATGATACTATGTTTTATTAAAAGCTGTAGTACTTTGGTAACTTGAGTACACATATGTCTATGATGAATCTTCTATGACTATGAACCTCTATTCAAGAAGAATTTATAAACGGTTTTACGCAAATGATTGGTAGATTGATGGATAGTACTTTGTTGAAATATATGTTTGAAACTAAAATTTGACTATCTATAAATAATTTATAAATCTTGCCAAACGGAGGCTTAAATGTTCTTAATACTAATGGTAAAAAATATTGAAATATTTCATTTTCAATTCTCTTTTTTATGCTAATGAAATAAAAATGTAGAATTGAGTTCTCGTTTTTATTAGAATTTGTGAGAAATATTCAGAAATTCAAGTTGAGGACGAAGTTTGAGAATCTAATCACCACAAATTAAAGGTTGAAAACTTATTGACTTATTGCTTTATTTCAAGTAAAATAATAGGTGACAAAACTACAGTTCTACAAATGAAAACCAATCAAACGCCGGTTAAAATGTTATACGACCAATTTTAGTGTTATTAGCGTCAATTTCGCGAAAGTAAACCAAAAATCCCACCATATGAAAGCCCACGCTATAATACGACGTCGTCAACCCTCTCGAAGTTGTAAACGCTTAACCTTGTACCTTGCCCTAAAACCCTCGTCTTCCGAGAGGCCCAGCGGCTTTGTTACTTTGCACGAAGACGGAAGAACCCTAGCATTTGCCATCTTTACATTGCAAATATGAAACTCGTTAGGTTAGTTTTATTCACTACATTGGTTGATTCATTGACCATTTTAATTCGTTTGAAATAAGCTTATTCTCTCTCTCTAATTAGGTTTTTGATGAAATTGAACAATGAGACAGTGTCGATTGAGCTCAAGAACGGTACCGTTGTTCATGGCACTATTACAGGTCCCTCTCTATTTGTATCGCTGTTTGTGTGCGTTGGATTTTCTTGTATCTATTTTTCTGTCTTCGATAAATGTAATTTAATTGTCAATCCGAAAATAAGAGAAGTGTTAGTTTGGTTGTTATTTCTTGTAGATATAGTGGGATGGAGTTTTTGATTGTGGGCTGAACAGTCATTTTTATCTGCTTTGACGTTAGATCTAGGACTTTGGTTTGCAATCTAGCTTCTGAGCTTTTGCATTGTCCTCCAAAAGTAAAGTTATAGAACAATTGCCCGTGTCACAAATTAACTATGTGAAAGCAAGTCTGATCCTGGGCGTCCATGAGCAAATGTAGGAGCAATTGGTTGATATCATATTTTAATACTGAACTTTTCCAGATAAAAAATTAATAAAAGGACTGGTGAGTAGCGTGTGCCACAGTATTATGAATTTTGTCATTAAGGTGGTTGAATGTTATATCCCAAGATTATGTGCCTTCGCCATTTCTTTCTTTTTTTTTTTTTCAGATTCTCCACTTTCTTTACAATTTAGATTACAATCTATCAGATGTGACATTATGTATTGTACACCATTTGATACAATGGTTATATAAATATAGTGCATCGAGATATTTCCTCAAGCAAACTTGTAATAGAAGTTTGGTTTCGAGTCTGAATGGTTTTTAGCGCTTGTTTGACATAATGGTGTTTTGCTAAAGCAATTCCATCATGTATTTTCTAATTTAACATGCAGTACTATGATCATTTACCTAGAATGATCCAGATATTGGCAAGTACACAAGGAGACAAGAGTGACTAGCATTATTAATAATTGCTAAATTACATGGCTTGTGGTAAGGCGATCATGACCGATTTACCTTCTCCAGAGAAATAACTATTTGAAAGTTATCTTTTTTCTTCATAGATAATCTTATTTGTTCCGCACAAACTTAAAGAGGTTAAATGAATCTATTACCTTAAAGTTCTACTCTGCAATTGCAAGTGTCATTGGTTCTAAAACTACTATGAAAGAATGACATTTTCCATGATCTTGGCACCAATATTTTGGCAATTTAATTAATAGATAGAAAGGATACAAGTGGTCATATGTCGTCCAAGATTTGGTGTTCAATATGTAGACATGTAGTTTATTGTGAAAGAGTTCTGGTGCATAAGTTGATGTGATTATTTTAGCATATTACTAGAAGATGTGCCCTCTTTTTTGCTGAAAACTTTAAAACACCTTTGAGTTGTTCATTGTCATATTTCTCTTTTCTTAGTTTCTGGATTTTATATGGCTCCCACTATGTACAACACATGTTCACCATATTCGGATGTTGGCTTTAAAGTCTGATTGTCTTGGCTGTCAAGTTTTTTCTTAGTTTCTTATTTTATATGGCTCCCTCTATGTACATAACATATTGACTATATTCAAACTTGGCTTTAAAGTCTGATTGTCTTGGCTTATTTGGTATCATTAGTTTTTCTAAGCTTCCCAAGACTCTGTATTGGTCCAACTATCCAAAATATGCCTTTTTATTTTCAACTTTGAAAAGAAGATTCTTTTCTTCTTTGCCCCTTAATTATAAACGAAACCATGAAGAGTGATATGCGAAATTGATCCTTCATCCCTGAACTGACTTGTTAAGGAACTCACTAATTAAAATCCAAGAAGAGCACGCACGGACATGCATGTCACACATTTCGTGAAAAAACACTGACACGGCAAGTTAGGGACCATTAAATATTATTTCATCTTAGCGCTTGTTTGAGCTCCATTTTTGGCTAAGAATGTATTTTTGAATAGTAGATTGATGGAGAATATGTGGTTAAAAAATAAGGAAAAGTTTTGGGTTTGCGTGTAATATTATTTATTGAAGAGTTGTTGAAAAGAAGAGAGAGAAAAATGTATTTTTGAAATAATGGGGATCAAACAAGGGCTTATTATTATTTTTATACTGTAAAGCAAATAGATTTGTTCTTCAATTGCAGTTGAAGTTGGGTTTCGATGGTAATTTGGTTGGTGATGAAGGTGTTTTGCATTAAAAAACGAAAGCCCTTTGCTTCAATTATTTTTCTGTGTGGCACTTTGGGCGTAAAATTTGTTGTTTGAGTCTTGGGCTACTTTCTGGCCTTAGTCTTCTTTTGTTATCTCTTTGTTGTTTTTGCTACTGCTTGTGCTCGCCTTAGAAGTTTTTCTAAAGTTTTGATAAATAAAAATTGGCACCTTGGTGGTTTCGACTAAAACAAAAGGGAGAAAAAAATTAACTTAGAATGAACCAACTTACGTAGCATTTTTATATCTCATATATGAATTTTTCGTTTTCTTGCTTTATTAGGTTGAGGAACATATGCTTCCACTTAAATATGAGAAATGTTACGCAAATTCAGATTATACGAAAGTTCTTTTAAGCTTGTTTCCATTGGACCTGAGTGGACTGCCAATTGCAAAACTGATTATAGTAAGGGTAAAGCATTCTACAGTTGATATATAGTTGCAAAATTGATCATTAATCTTTTATATTTTATATTCTAGTGTATATTTTTGGTCAATATTTCTTAGTCGATAATTAAATCAGATTGAAACCATCCTGTATTAAAACAGTTGCAGAATAGATAACTTGATAAAGTTTTAACCAGGTTTTGGGTGATGGTTTTTATTTATACCTGAATGAGTGCATTTGTTTTCAAGTCAGTATTCCTAAATGAGAGCCTAAAACTTGGAACCTGCAGAAATGACTTTATTATCGTTCCATATTTGTACCTCACACCAGAGCAGCAGTAGCTGGAGATATTTGCATTGTTTTGAAAGTGCTTGTATTTACAAATAGGTTATTTTTGGTAAACATTTTCATAATTTAAAATTATTTTTCCATACGAAAAATCCAAACCGAAACATACCGTTGCAGACTATGATTTCCTAGGTAGCATGTATTATCTGCCTTTTGTGGGTGTGATTTCATTTGACCTTATACTGGATGTATCAGAAAGCTGAATGATGCAATCAAAATGATTCACTTAGCTAACCCCAAGTTTATTTGGAATGAAACTTTAGTTTTTTTCCCCATAATGTTGATAAATAATTCACTATTATATGCTCGCTTACACTCCTACGATTTTGGTTGGGTCACTTCTTTGAAGTTTCAAGCTGAAATAAAATTAATAAAGACCTTTGAACTCATTTTGTTTGATTTATCATTCCTTCAAACTATATAGCTGCCTGAACTGCAATTTCTGACTGTATTTCATCTTGTTATTCTGCAGGTGTTGATATCAGCATGAACACACATCTGAAGACTGTAAAGCTTACATTAAAGGGAAAGAATCCTGTGACTTTGGATCATCTGAGTGTAAGGGGCAACACTATCCGCTATTATATCCTTCCAGACAGCTTAAATCTTGAGACTTTACTCGTGGAAGAGACACCTAGGGTCAAACCGAAGAAGCCAACTGCTGGTAAAGAATGTTTTTTAAAATTCTTTTGCCATTCTAGATAATCTTTTACTTACTATCGAATCTAACTTATTTTTCTCTTCCTACTCAAAGGACGCGCTTTGGGGCGTGGTCGGGGCCGTGGACGTGGGCGTGGACGTGGTCGGGGCCGCTAGATATTCTCCAATCACCTCAATTTTAAGGTATCTTGTTATGTAAACACCTGTATCGAAGGGAGAGGCTTCTTTATGCTCTTAGCAAGCTGAAATTGAATTAGAGGATCTACAGCATTGTACTCTAGTAAGATCTTAGTGCCCATTTTGAGGTTTGGTTGAATACTGTCTACTGAGATCTGATTCTCGATGATATCCGCCGTGATCACTCTCACTTTTATTGAACCTTCTTTAACCTTTTCCTTCTTTAATATTCACGACTTTATTTCCACCCTGCCCAATATGCAACTAAAAACGTACTAAAATAAACACGGCTGCATTTTTATTTTCAGCTATAAAGTTAATCTTAAAAATCTGAGTGTTTGAGGCAAACTGCAAGTTGCTTCATTCCTGGTATTTGTGAAAAACAGATTACTACTTTTGAAATTTAAGATTGATTCATAATAAATTTGAAATTTCACGCACAGGTCCTTTTTTCTGATTCCGTTTAATATATTTCTAGGTGGATTTAAGAATAATGATATTTATTATTAGGGAAAATTGCAGTCACGGTACCAAACATTTTACTTTTTTGTAGACTGTCCAAATCTTTGTTTTGTGCGACCCACGGTACCGAACCTTTAAACAATTCGCATTCGGAGTCCAAATTGACAGTTTCCGTCCGTTGACCGTTAGTCAACCAATCATGGTAGATTTTGACTCATTTTGACAAAATTATGAGGGGTAAAATGGTAATTTGACAATTTTTTTATTAAATAAATTTTAAAAAAATAAAAATAAAAACTTGCAATTTCTCCTTCCCGGCATCAACAGTGCCGTCATTGTCATCGGCACACTGCCAGCAAAAACACCTCCACCTCCTCCCACCAGCTTCACCAGGCGGATAGTGTAGCAGCCACCACAAATTCGTCATTTCTCTTCCACCGTCAAATTCTCATTTCTCTTTTAGCAAAACACAATTCTTCCTTCTTCAAGATTCAAACTCCTACCACGCTCCGCTCACTTTACATCTCAAGAAAATATTTAAAGATTGAAAATTCACTTGCAATGTGTAAATTGATTCTTAAAAAAAAAAAACAATATTTTAGATAATGTTTTCTTTTTATCTTTGATGATCCCATCTATATAAATTTCTTTTTGTTGCTTTCTACAATACTGCATCAATTGCGACTTACAAAATCCATGGCCTAAACCTTTGTGGAGTTGTGTCTGAAACAAAGCGCATAATCGGTGTCCACTCACGCCACTTCTTAGCTCTTTGTGTACTTTTCCTTCTTCCCCTCTCCTTTTCATTCGTCATCTACCCAACTCTTCAAACCACTTTTTCTAAACCTAATTCCTCCATTCTTTCCCAATTTCACCAAATAGGACGCCAATTCCAACTTCTGTTCCTCCCCCACGTCCGACAATTACACCACCCCCAAAACAACAGAAGAGCTCGCAACTGACTACCACCGGCAGGTTCCTTTTCCTCCAAATAGGGCGATGATTGGGAGTGTAATTTGATTTTTTGGGTGAGAGGATTGGGGAAGATTGAAGGAGATAGGTTTTATTTTGTGGATTTTGTTTATTTTTTATATTAAAATTATAAAGTTACCATTTTATCCCTGTCTTATTTGATCAAAATTATTAAGGCTCTGTTTGGGAGAAATTTTAATCAGTATATTAATAAAAAATCTAGCCATTAACTATCAAATCAGCCACCATTTTTTTACCTTCCCTCTCACAGGTGGAGCCCACGGGTTGATTTTAACGGCTATAATTTTAAAATTCTAGCTGTTAACTATCAAATTAGCCACCATTTTTTACTTTTCCTCTCACAGGTAGGGTCCACAGGTTGACTATAACGGCTATAATTTTGATTAAAATCCCACAAAAATTGCTCACAAACACGCTCTAAAATTTTAATTTTTGAAGTCAATTGACGATTTTTTGGGTCAAACGGACGGAAACTGTCAATTTGGACTCCGGGTGAGAATTGTTTAAATGTTTGGTACCGTGAGTGGCACAAAACAAAGGTTTGAGCAAAGTTTGCAAAAAAGTAAAAGGTTTGGTACTGTGATTGCAAGTTTCCCTTATTATTATGATGATGTGACAGTTTATGTGGAATAATGAGATTGTACACTTTAATTATTGTACACTTTAATTATTACTCTAGATTTAAAGCAACCAATATTGCAATATTACTTGTTACATTTTAACCACTTTTTTCCGAAAACAATTTATTGGGAAAAGATGCAAGTTTAAAAGAACAATGCTGGGCTGGCAGGGAGGGTCGGGTTTGATCCTCTTCTTTTTTAATTCATATGGATCTTGCGTGGATCCCACCACAATGTGATAGGATGTCAACGAAAGTGTCAATTTTTTTCCGGCAAATGGTTTAATTTAGTTTAAAAATCCAGTTTTGACAAAAAAAAAATCTGGAAAAGCATTAAGCAAATATATTTCTCAGAAGAAATGATTATTTTTCCTTAACCTGTAAGATTTTATAGCCTCTGGTCCTCTGCCGTGGACAAAGACGTTTGCTTAACCTCCAAGCCTCAATTTCACAAACTTTATAATAATTCAACGTAGCGTCAATTGTTCTTCTAATATTGGATTTGGAGCAGTAGCTGGGCCGAATTATTCCTGCATTTATTATCGCACAAACAAAGGCCCCACTGTCTTGCGCAAGCAAAGAACCAAAATGTTCAACGCGTCTTCCCCTAAAACCCTCCCATTATAAAGTAGAAATCCTCGACATTTTGCAATCACATTTCACTATAAATTCGATAAAATAAATGCAGAATTCTCAAATCCAAGAGAAGAAGAGCATTAAGAAATAATGGCGAAATCGAATTCCTTGAAATCAGCCGCGATCGTGTTCGGAGGCTTGGCTTTCAGTTGGCTAGCCATAGAGATGGCGTTGAAGCCGTGGCTCGACAAGGCCCGAGCCGCCATCAACAACTCTGATCCAACTCGCGATCCAGATGATGACACCGCCGACAAGTCGCCGCCGGAGGTCAGTGACTCCGATGTTAAGCGAAATGATTCACACGAGGCTTGATGTAGCAGATTATACTTTATATTTTTTTAAGAACAATTTCAAATCAATTATGCTCTTTAAACTTTTAAATGGATTTATGAAAATTAAGTTTTATGGTTAATCCCAATTAATTGCTGCTTCTAAGGGATCATAATAATGAAGATAAGAATTCAACACTCCTTTTTCCAGCTAATTAATGAGTACATAGACTGATTATGATGATTCGAATAACTAATTATAATTTACTTTCCATTCGTGTTTGTCCAAAGCGACGTGAAAAACATTATTTTTTATGGATTTTTTTTCGAGTAATGTTATTCATCCCCAATGGGAATGAAAACACAGTCTAGGTGGTTTATCCACGCTTTGAAGGAAGAGGGCAAATTTGATTTCACGATCGGGTATCCACGCTTTCAATTCAAGATTGTTGGTTTAAGTTCTTAATTTATTTTATTTAATCGAATTAAAACCTACGATTTCAATTCGGTTTTAGTTCCAGTTAAAATGTCCAGCCCTATCAGTTGAAATGATAATTCAACGTTGAGATCAATTAATAATTGAAGTTTACTGCAACGACGAAGAATCAAATAATGGACTCATTGAACTTGGTTTTGTTACAATAGATCACAACAGGAACGCCTTTGATAAATATGATTTCTAGTTCCATATGTATTTGGGTTGTTTCCATTTCGGGTGGGATGAATAACTTGATTCAATTATGTCTCCACCTTTTAATGCATACAATATAGAAAAATGTTATGTGTACACCATACGGCTTTACACCCTCCTCACATGAAGGGGGGCCCACGAATATTTTATTGTGTGTGGACCTCCTCCACGCGAGGGGGTGTAAAGCCGTGCGTATACCATTGTGTACACGTAGCATCTCCCTACAATATAGCAGCCTGAGGGGCATAAAATTGGGCTAATGTGTTGGTATTATTCTAGATGAAGAAAATTCCCTGAGTATTTTCTCAGAATTTTACCAGAAAATGTTCCTAGCCTTTGATTTTTTTTTTCCCGCCTTTTTGTATAAATCATGGCCTTTGATTTCAAAAATCTGGCAATTGTCCGGCAAATCTTTCTGTACCTATAGCACAGTTCTTTGTTCGGGTATTTTAGTACCCGAAATTCATTATACTTCGAAAATTTCGTGAATAGAAACGTTGGGTTCGAAGTAATTGCTAGAACAAAACTCGAAATCGAACCATCGGTTCAAATTCCTTCAATTTGGGTTCCGTTAAAAAAATCAGGAGTTGGAAATACAAATGATTTTCTCAATATTTGGTAGATAAAAAAAATAAATAAAAAGTGTCATTAAATACATATTTTAACACTTTCTTAATCTTCTGTAAATATGTCATCGAATAGCTATCATATAGCATCCATTTCGAGTTTCGACTGTGGCCATACTTACATTGCCTCAAGCAGGATTTGTGGAGGGATAATGCATAAAGTGCGAAAGTGATATTATTCAAACGAATAAATCTGATTTATTAGGGTCACTGCCTAGGCCTTGTAAACTTGTTATTTGTTGGGTCGGATTATTGGGTCATGATGAATAAATTCTAAAAAACGTATACTTTGAAAAAAGAGGGCAAATTTGATTTCGTGATCGGGCATCCACGCTTTCAGTTCAAGATTCTTGGTTTAAGTTCTTAATTTATTTTATTTAATCGAATTAAAACCTACGATTTCAATCGGTTTTAGTTCCAGTTAAAATGTCCAGCCCTATCAGTTGAAATGATAATTCACCGTTGAGAACAATTAATAATTGAAGTTTACTACAATGACGAAAATCAAATAATGGACTCATTGAACTTGGTTTTGTTACAATAGATCACAACACGAACACCTTTGATAAATATGATTTCTAGTTCTATATGTATTTGGGTTGTTGCCATTTCGGGTGGGATGATTAACTTGATTCAATTATGTCTCCACCTTTTAATGCATACAATATAGAAAAAATGTTATGCGTACACTACACGGCTTTACACCCTCCTCACATGAAGGGGGGCCCACGAATATTTTATTGTGTGTGGACCTCCTCCACGTGAGGGGGTGTAAAGCCGTGCGTATACCATTGTGTACACGTAGCATCTCCCTACAATATAGCAGCCTGAGGGGCATAAAATTGGGCAAATGTGTTGGTATTATTCTAGATGAACATGGCCAGGGGCACCCCTTGGCGTCCCCTATAGGTGGGAGGTCATTTGTTCATCTAGCACAACTCGATGGTTTATACCCACAAGAGTCAAAATTCCATTGTTTATTGTATTTTTGGACAGACCTTTCTGTAATTTTATTTTCATTGTTTTGTTTCCTTAACATCATTCTGTTTCACCCGGTCAAAAAATTACACGAGACTATACCTTTTTCAATGTTTTTTGGCTTATTTATCATTTTGGCAAGTCATGAGCAAAAACTGCTCTGCACTTTGTGCATATTTTCGAAGGTTTCCGGTCCATTCAACAAATAAACACCAAACAATTTTAACAATAGAAATCTTGCTTTGTTACTTAAATTGGCCTAAGGAATTCAATTATTTCTTGCAAGAAATCGGGGATAAAAATAAAAATCCTGAAGAGGGGCAATTTTCATGGCAATAAACAAACGTAATGAACACGTTTTTATGCATTTAATTGACGGGAACACAAGCCTTTACTATCATACACTATGACGTGAGCTCAACCACTTGTATATTTTTTGCTAATTCATCGATCCATAATTATATTTTTATTTTATTTTCATTTGAGATCCATCAGAAAGCTTAACCGAACAATATGCAAACTACTGCAATCTTCCTCCCTTGCTCAGACTTGAAAACAGCTGTGGACTAAGCCATTGTTTGGCCCCTATTAAATTATATTACATTATATTAAATTTTTTTCTCTTCATTTCAACCACACATTCATCAAATAAAATAATATTACACACAAATCAAAAAAATTTCAACCACACATTCTCCCATTAATCACTATTCTAAAAATTTTCAACCCCTCAAAAATGTAAAATAATGGGGGCCAAACAGGGGCTAAGTTCAACATAACGAAAAACCCAATATAATCATGGAAAAAATAAGATTATGTTCGAGTTCTCTTTCCAACTGTTTTTCAAAAATATTAACAGAAAAGTGCAAGGAACTCGTGCAATCTGAAAGAATTCAAAATACACCACCGACTCGAGATTTCATTTATGAAGTTTGTTACAATCCAAAATCCTTACTCGGATTATGCATTAGTAGCTAAGAACTATTACAAACAAAAATTTCGGAAAAGGACTACCAGAAATGAAAGTCATCGACTAGAATCAAAGGATTACATGTTAAACTTCAAAAAGTCTGCATCGTCACTCCTCAGCAGGCGTCCTTCTGGAAGCCAGGCCCTTGATTGTGTGTCGACATTGAAACCTGCAACGGTATCAAAGTTCTGGTAGTAAACAGACCCGTTTAGTTTAAAGTATTCCATTATTAGTTACAGCCAGTTCATTTCCCTTCCCACCCCTCACCACAACCAGGCAACAATGACCTCCTTTCCAACTTCATTTGCGGTTACTAGAATAAGAGGAAGGAAGACACAGACAAGGAGAAATGAAACAAATAAAAGAAGTCACTGGTTGATTTACATACTGCAAGAGTTGAAACAACGCAATTGCATTTAAAGAACTGAATTCCAAAGAAGGTGAGTAACTAAAACAACTCAGGATTTCTGTGTAAAGAATAAAGGGAGAAAGTTGATGACACGAAAACTTGAATGCAGCTAAAGTTAGTCTCGGTTGATGTAGAATCCAAGATTTGTACAAGACATCATGATTCAGTATTTTAAAAATTCAATACCAGATCAAATCGGTGGATGAAGAATCCAAACAACCAGCAGATGTAGCAGTTTGACAATCATTTGGTTCAGCATATACTTCCAGATTTCGAGTTCTGCGCTTAAACCGTAATTTAAAGGGCACTATCTGCAACCAAAAAGTGAAGAAAAATAAAATCCTGTAACATTTAGAAAGGAAAGTACAGCTGTGATCTCACAACTCCTCTTAGCAATATAAAGAAGCAATAGATTTCGTATATGCCAAGGGATAGGCCAGCTTAAGAAGATCCTCTGACCATTGTATTACACCTTAGTATACCCTAGGACATGAAATAGCTATTTGTCCAAGCAATAGCCGAGAATGTTCTCAAAAGCGAGCAGTAGTGACGAAACAAAATAATTCAAGCTTCATAAACTTGAAAATCCACATCGACTCAAATGAAGTAAATCAGTAAATCTATGAATTACTGACAAAATGAATAACTAGATAAAACCAAAAATTAAGATAAAAGGTGAATGCAAGTTTCAAACAAGAAAAAATATTCAGAAACAGCAACAGTGATACCAATCAGAAAACAATATAGTTCAGATATTTACCTTCTTATTGTATCTAAACTCGCGCTTGGGGAGAAAATGCAAAGGAATATTGAATGAAGAGGGAGCTTTAACCAATAGAAACAACTTCGTCGGACCTAAAGCATTTACAAACACAGAAATCATTAAAGTGAAGGCAAATTAGATTCTTTTAAACAGGTGTAAATGTAAATAAATAAACACTCTTAAGTACCAGCATATGAATCCGATCCTGCGCCACTTGATATCAAAGTACGAATCGCCTATGTCAAAGTAACAATTCAATCAATACTCAATTTCACTGAATGTAGAAATGCAATGCGCTATAAGAATTCGTCAGACCTTTCTTGAAAGCACTTCAGCAACTTTACTTCGACCAAAATCACCCGAAACAATTCTTCCTTGCAAAAAACACAGCTCATAAACATGTAGAGGCCTTAAGGGACTAGGTCCAAGAACCAGAATCACTGTCTCCAAATTGGGAACCTCAGTGATCATTAATTGAACAGCACTCTTGAGATTAGAAATAGTACTCATCAATTTTTCCAGCCTTCTAATTCCCATTTTTACTTCTCTCTTTCTTGCAGCTTGATTTCTCCTTAAAGACACTGCCTTCACTTCACTTTGTGGAGTGAGGTCCACCTCCCAATCAATAACAATTCAAAACATTCAGAATCCTTTTTCCAAATTTTACTTTGGAGAATGTTTGGCTAAACCTCAAACAATCTTGGTTACTTACTTTATTACTTTTAAGGAAAAAAAAAACAAAAAAGTAATATTTTTGGTAAGCAACCCTAAACTTACCGTCAAAATAACTTAGTATAAGGAATATAATTCACTCACCAAATCGTTGTACTCGGCACGCAATTCATCAAATTCCTGACTAAGATCCTGCAATACACTGCCAATAAATTTCATAAATAATCAAACAATTAAGGAGAGTATTATTAACTTTTGAAATTAATTTTACAATAATTATTTCAAGAAGGAAAGCAAATTACGAAGGAATTTGTTGGTGCATGAAGAGAATGAAGCCAAGAATATCGATGACGACGTGAAAAATCACAGAAGTGTCTAGTGACTCTGCGGATGTCTCAATATTCGTGAATTCCATCTCCGAACTTGCTTCTTCTTCCATGGCCCGATGGCCGCCTCTTTCACTGGTTAATATTTCTTTTGGGGAGAAAAGCAGTGATTTTGTGATGGAAGATAAAGAGGAAAGATTGTGATTATCTGTGATCTGGTGAAAAGAAATCGAATTGAGAATTGGGGAGGGAATTTGGGAATTCGAATTTAGTTCAGGTCTCTTCGTTTACAGCATGTTTGACTGTGCTTAGGAAGTTGACTTTTAAGCTCTTTTAACGGCTCGTAATTAGGCCCATATTTAACCTACTCAAGGCCCACAAACGCAACCATTACAATTAGAAAAATTGCAGCGGGCTCCCAATGTTAGATGTAAGTATAAACGAGTTTTCAACTTTCAAATCTTAAAAGCTCATCCTCAACTCAACTTTTGATAAATGTAACACAAAGAATAGGGATGGCAAAAAGCCTCGTACTATCCCAATTCGAATGAGACAAGGATTTCCTAATTAATTAAGGAATTGAGGTAGGGAAAAGGAACGTGATCAGATGATCTGCCTCCTCAACACTTTTCTTTTATATTCTATATTTTTAAATTTAAAACGTATATGAAAATATAAAAGAATAATACAAATTCTTTCAAGATCTTCGTTCGAAAGCGAAGTGGATCTAACATCGATCTTCGACATAACTGAAACCTCTTGCTTCTGCTTGTCAATGGCCATAACGCATCACTTTCTTGATCTAACATATCAAGTTAGGATTCCTAGGAGAATAGAAACACGTAGTTGGACAAGGCTAGCTAGGAATTCTTGCCAATCCCCCGTCCCTTATGTTGTTGAAGGCATTCATCACGTGAGCTTAAAAACCATCCGATGTAAGTGTGTTGGGCTAATCTTGTTCGAATGGGTTTTGGATAAGCATAATTTAGGTGAGTCGTTGGAATCTGTTTGATAAGTGTATTTTGTACACTTATTTAAGTCATTAAATTAGAGTATTTGATAATGATTTGGATGAATTATAGTTTAATTATGTGTGAATTATGCTTGTTAGATTGAACTCAATGAAAATTTGTGAAATTGGAAGAAATGAACGAAAAATGGCAAAAACGAAAAAAAAAATCCAAAATTTGGGGACTAAAGCGTAAACATTCAATAGTTTATTCGGATCATAAAAACATGATTGAAGATCATATATGATCAAATGGATGTAATTGGAGGTCAAATGAATGAAACATAATATAAGTAATTTCACAAATCAATTTCTAGTCGAAAAAGTTATGCTCCGAATTTTTAGCTTAAACTTGAGACTCATTTTTTTGGATAGCAAACGTTCGAATTGGAAACATTGTATTCATTTGAATTAACTTTCCAACACATTTTGAATCACCTCAATGGGGTGTCTGTAGAGAAAGTTATGCCAAAATATCAAAAGCTACTCGGGATGAATAGAAGCGAATATACGTACGTTGGGACAATTCATGGCGCGCGCGGGGTATCCTATTTTCCCCAACTTGAAAGCCATTTAGCTCAATGACTCGTGCAAGATGGTTATGCTAGTGCACGCGTATGCCATTTTCGTGGATGAATCAGTAGTTTTCTTTCGCGATTCAAACTCTTTTGGAACCTAAATTGGACGCAATTTTGACCTATTTTCTGGCTCTTATAAATAGAGAACGAATGGTGCACATTGAAAAAAAATCTCTATTCCCTCTTCATACACAATAGTATCATCAAATTTATCAATAACAAGGGACTAATTACTATATTTTGAGATATGAGATCAAGCCCTAACAAGGAATTAAAGGTCAATTACATCAAAATTTTGAAGAATTCAACATTGGAATTGAAGATTAATATCTTTTGCATTCTATTATGATCCGAGTGATATTTTTCTATTATTCTTTTTGTAGTTTATATATTAACATACTAGACTAGATCTATTTTTGTATTAGACGAAGATGAACTTTATTGTTTATTTGTTGTAATTCAAGATCAGTAGTTTAGTTTATTTCTTACATTTTTTGATTAATTTTGCATACACATTACATTATTTAATTGATTGGCCACCAATTAGATAATTAGTTGCTTGTTGTAGTGTTGAGAGACTCACAACAAATTTAGAACGCGGCAAAATTAACATATGTGTAATAGATATTAGGAATAACATTTATCGCGTGTACGATCATATAAATAACCTAAATTTTAATGTATTCTAATCATTCGATCTCTTGTACAAGGAATAAATTCGGGTCGTAGCTAGGATATATTTAATTTATTTTGGAAAAGAAAATTATATATCATAATTTTATCGGTTGTAAAAATGCATGAATGGAACTATATTACAAATCAAGAATTGAAATAGATAGTAATAGGAGGATTCGATATCCAATACAATCATCTACAATTCGATACAAAACACTTTTACCGCTTTACTAGAACAATTTAGAATAATCACAAAATCAAATTCTCTTTTGGTTACATATTTCGAATTTGATACAAAACTAATAAGTTTAAATTGAATTTACACCATATGGGATGATACTCTCAACTCACTAAATCTATTACTTGTCAACGATCCTGTACACTCATGGGTTTCGCACGAACATCATTTTACGCAAGCTTTCCCAACATTTTTGGATGACGTTTATGTCTATTGAATATTATTTTTGTTAAGTTCGAAACGAGGTGAGAAATTGAGATATTTCTATATAATGTATGAACAAAAACTCTAGATAATTGATATTTTTCTCTTTCAATAATATCTCAATTCCAATACCAGTTCATTAAACATCTTACAATTGGAATCCCTTTTTTATTTTTATATCTAGATCCTCCACCATCGAAAAACCTAGTTAGATTCAGGCATACTACACCTTTTAGTTACTCTAATTTTTCAAGTACTCTCTTTCAAATGTAGGGAATGACTTTTAGAAATCTTTTTTCAGTTTGAAAAATACGTTAACAAAACAATCATTAGAAGAATCCGTTGGAAATTCAAACATCACCCTGCTCCATTGCCCCATCCCAGGGATTAAAAAAAAACGTGTCCAATTCGATACTCGCGAGGCCCCACCACAAATGGGGCGGGGATTACCTATATAATCGGGTAAACGGGAGAGGGGTCGTTGTCCCGAAGCGGTATGAGATGGGTACCAAAAACAAAAACATGGTCATCGCCTCATTACCCATCCCGTTTAAAGTTAGTTTCATGTTTTTATCAAAAAAATAAAAGATTTATCATATTTTTAAAGAGAACATGAATTGTTCTTAACAAATCGGGGGAAAAAAAAGCAATAATATTCACTAAGGATATAAAAATAAAAATAATAAAAAGCAGGGACCACCCCAACCTATCCCGCTTTAACTGGGTATAGAATTGGGATAAGGTAACAAAAATATCCGATAGGATGAGAGATCGGAATGACCAAACCGCCCTTCACCTGTCCCGTTGCAATCTCTACATAGAAATACAAACATAATTCATCCAAACTAACATTAAAATGATGTGTAATGTTTGAATTGGTTAAGTAATATATGTGTGTGTGTGTGTGTGTGTGTGTGTGTGTGTGTGTGTGTATATATATATTTATGAGGGTGTATGGTAGAGATTAAAATCGGATTAAAATTGAAAAACTAGCCATTATTGTTGACTTTTATTAGATGAGTGGGACCCAATAACGGCTATATTTCAATTTTAATTGGATTTTGAGCCGTACCAAATAAGTCCTATATATGAAAAGTGACTTTCGTATTAATTTCAACAAAATATTCGGACTTGATCCGATAGTCAAATTATGAAAATAAATAGATTGATTTGTTTTACTCGTAGAGTGGATTGTCGTGGTATATTTGGAACCTCCAAACCAATTTTGGGTGAATGAGAAATTACGGTCTAAAGTTGAAAAAAAGAAAGATGAAACTGACTAGTTATTTATCTAATTCCATCGCTCACCTAGCGCTCAAGCGAAGCAAGGGTGACACGCTAGCGACAGCAAAAGCTACGACCCTTGGCAAAGGTTACTGAGTTTTGGGGCGCTGCACTTCATTCACAACATGTCCTCAGCTTAAATAAGATCTTTGGGACGTCTATTTAATCATTTCAATGATATGCAATCATAATAAAATTCCATATTTTCTTAGTCAAGACTTTGCATAAAAGTTGTTTTTCATTTCATTCAAAAGGAGTACGATAACCTAATTTTAGTTCGTTGTTTCTCGTGTATTGGAGTGCTATTAATACAAAAAGATTTTCGTTGTATCTTGGAAGTTGATTGCCATCATCCTTAGGCACTATTGCAGGGCAAATTCGACTTAATGATAGAGAACTCAACTCTTGCCTCGACTTTGCATCTATTTCTCTTGGCATTAATTTGACATTCTTCTCATTTGGTATTTATTACTCTTTTCCTTGTCGTTACTTTGTTCAATTTTGGTAAGTTTGATTTTTGGTTTAAAAATCATCACCCAAATTCATTTATTATTCAACATGTAATTACAAGTGTCAATTGAGATAATTTTTCTGATTTAGTCAAGAACTATGTATATAGTCCTGTTTGGTTCATTTGAAATGCTGAATTAAATTGATTGTCGTTTAGCTTCTTACGTTCTTTTGAGTAGTGACCCAACCGTGATCTATAATGCAGAGGAAAAGTCTATTTCTCAGGAAAGATGAAAATTTAGGTTTTAATTATGAAAGTAATTTTTTATCCAAAATATAAAGTTGTCGACAACAAGATATCTCTACACTTGCCACGCGTCCAAATAAAATCCCTCCCCACACAATGGACCACTTGTAGCTAGCCAATAATTGAACGCACCAACCTTATGCTCTTTCCATGTGGATTCCAAAGGTGATGTTCAGCTTGTAGATAATAAATAAGATAAATATATAATTCGGCGAGAAATAAGAATGAAATGGAAAATAAGGAAAAGATAAGGATATAAAATGGTCGATAATGACACAAACGATGAAGATTTTTTATATACTATCAAATATATAAATGTGATTTTAAGTAATGTTTTGAAAATCAGTCTGTATGTTAACCCGAAAAAGTGAAAGGGTCAAGAGTGAAAATGTTGAACCGAGATGAAATCAGGATCGAACCACTAGTAATAAATAAATATATTATTTACCACAAAATTGACAAAATTAAGTTAAATTTCCAACTTAATTAATAATTTAATATATATAATTTTACAAGTATAAAAGGAAACTAGTGTAAGAAATCTTCTTATAAAACTTCTCTACAAGAATCGGAAATTTTGTAAAACGAGTCTAAACATTATTCTACTGATCTAACCTTGTAAAATTAAAATTAAACAATAATCGTAATATAATCAATGAGTAAACACCTAATGTCGACTTGAGTTAGAATCTATATCAAACAGCCATTGGGACATAGTTCAGTGGTACAAATGACATAGGTGAGTTAGTCTCAATCGCAGTGTGAGTGTTCGATTCCTACCTCTTACAATGTATGGAATTAGATTCTTTGTGGGTACTCGTATGACAGCTCTTGTACCCTGATGTGTTGAGGCACATTCCACGATTTATTTCTTCCACAATGCTCTATAGGCAGGACAGTGGGGGACCCTCAAGATTGGGGTTCAACCTTTTTAGAATCTATATCAAAAACAGTGCTACAAGTAAGACCTAACTAACAAGATTTTTATTTTTTTTAGTATTTATTTGTCACTTTTTATATTATTTGCTTTATTCTATTCTGTATCCACATAACCCGACCGTTCGATGTGATGTCATATAAATATAAAATAATCAAATATCAGTCAATCAAAGTCCAGAATGCATGCGTGGACGAACAAATAATCGTACATCCCAGATATTTTAGTATTGCGAGTCGTACATTTTCCCAAAATTAGCCACGTACTCATCCAGATATTTTTGCCTGTCAGCCACGTGGCATCATCTCCACTATAGTTCACACGCTTACGTTCCTCCTCGATTCTACAATGCTTCACTCAACCAATCTTAAGCGGCCACGATAGTCATATTAAACAAAAATCTGACGCGTGTCTCGCATGCGGAGAACTAATGATTTCTAAGTAGTAAATCATTAATTCTTTGCCTTACACGTGTCCCTCTGTCTGTTACACGCCTATATATACGCGTTTGCAGAAGATAACTCCTCCAATCGCCGTTGTAAGAATGAGTGAGTCTCCGAGTCAGAAACAGAAGGTTAGCAAGGCTGATGAGTCGTCCGAGTCCGGAATTTTCGACGAGCGGGTTCTCGTCCTTGTTTTCGAGTCTTTAAAATGGGACATTCGAGACCTCTGCGCGACTGCGTCGGTTAACCATAAACTCCGTGCCGTCTCGAAACGGCTTCTTTGGAGGGAACTATGCTTGTATCGCGCACCGCGAATGATAGCTTCATTGATGGGTGGTGTGCCTAACAGCCGGATTTGCGGCGGATGGCAGTCGATCGCGAAATTACTATTTTTCTGCTGCGGATGTGAGTCGAGTCGGTATTTTAGACTGAGTCAACCCTTGCAGGGTCATTTCGTGAAGGAGTCCCGGTTTTCGAAGACTTCGGGTCAGAGCTTTTTGGCGAAGAAATGCAGAGGAGATGTACTGTATCTGAGCGACCCATGTGAGCATCCAGCGAGGGGCAAAGAGTACGATTTAGGTATTTATAGAGGGGTATTTCGGGAATTTAAAAAGTCGAGGACCCGGGATTATTTGATAAACCGCCGGGTGGAGTTTGAGGAGAAAATCCGATGTCCTTATTGTGGGACTCGGGTCTGGAGTATGACCGCGGCTCGGCTTGTGCCCAAGAAGAGTGCGGCTAGGAGGCTCGGCTCGCACGATGAGGGATTAGAGTATTTCGTGTGCCTGAATGGGCACTTGCACGGGACATGTCTGCTGGTGCCTCTATCGTCCGATGAAGATGAAGATGAAGATGAAGCTGATGATGATGAGAGTGGTGATGATTTGGACGGTCAGTAGACAGTAATAGATGTACATGTAATCGGAATTGGCTAGCGTAGGTACACTCCGGCGCATGGAATTTACGGATTTTTTTTTTCCTTTTTTTGTACGGTGAGTGTTCCACGTATTGATTTGGAGTCTCATTTTTCTGTTGTAAATTTGATGCATCATTGTATGTATGTATATTTTGTTCATTAATGAAGATTTAGTCACATTTTGTTTCTGTTTGAATCAAATTATTATAGAATGAGAATGAAAAATATAGTCGTTATTAGGCCCACATAAGAGATAGATATACTGAATAATAGTCATAATTTTTATTTTAATGAGATAATAATGTAGATGAAACGGGGCTTAGTTTATTACATTTTGTTCATGAATGGAGATTTAGTCACAAGTAGACCCATGAATGGAGAAGCATAATAAAAATGAGTCGCTAATGCACATTTACTAGACATGAGTATACGTAGGATGGACAAGATTTTTAAACTACTGTCTTTCTTAAAACTGTCCATCAAACCTAATATAGTTTTATTAACTTATTTCTCTTCATTTCCAACAATATTTGGGTGAATATGTACACACTACCTAAAGAATTTCCAAATCATGAAAGAAGAGGCCCTGAATCCAAACACCAACACTTGTAATTTGACTTGGAGATACTGAAAAGCTCATCTGGTGTCATATTCTCAAGTTCTTTGGGCTTCCAAGAATCAAAAGTGTTCGTAGATGGACTATGAGCAGCAGCCAATAACATTCCCATACCTTTTCTTGGGTGACATTGTGACCGCATTCTCTTGTACAACCTCATTGCTGATACACAATCTTCGTAAGGATCATGCAACCCCGACTGGATATCGTACCTATTAAACCAAGGCCCATGTCAACCAAACTTGCAATATCACACGCCAAGAACAAAACATTGAAGGAAATGCTAATCGAGTAGAATACAGTCACCCTACTAAACTATTTTAGCAGTATATGGAGACAGCACATCTAAAAGAGAACCATTTTATTTCTTTTCACCTCAAAACTGTTGGGCCATATTACTGAATCTCAACTCAGATCAATGATCACGGGACTGCAAAATTTTCAGAAATGTTCATTGTAAAAATAATGCTCATCTAGAGTTGCCATTCTTGCAGAGAAAATTATTAACTTCAATATATTTTTCACTCGGTTTAGAGTTCATAACAAAAAAACTGGAGATTATGGATTAGCAACTGAAAGGAAGCCCAAGAAAACCATGAACGCCCACAGCCACCCCTAAGAGTCGTTCAGGTTGTTTTTATTTACTCAGTCTCTGGTACTTCCGTTTAGCTCCAAATCTCTTCTTTTCTTTTTGTAAATTGTATCTTAAATTAACAACATAAAAAAAAAGAGAGAGACCCCGAGAATAATCACTGGACGACAACTTACCCGAGATAGGTCTTGGTAAGGTACTTGAGCGAGTGACTGACGAGGTTTGTCTTCATTAAGGGAGGGTATTTTGCTGTATCCCTGCACATAAAGGGGGTGAAAAATTAAGCACAATGGAGTATGCAGCAAAACAACTTCATCCACTTCTTTCTTATTTCATTACTCTTGGATTATACAAGCTAAAATTCAAGGACAACCAGTATACAATGACCAGCTCGTAGATACACTAGGTACAAATGGAGGTTCATGTTACAATCCCCTGGTGAGAACTTGGTCAAGTTAATTCAAGAAAATATGAAATCATTAAAATTTATGAACCAATAAGTTAAAGAATTTTAAGATCCGAGAGAACCCCCGATTCTCCCCATTTTCCTCCCTTTTCGGAGATGGGACAAAGAAGAGGGAGCAGGATTTGGAATTCAAGAACATAAATCACCATAAATCAAAATATAATGAGCTCTGTTTATTGTCCACGAGCCTCCACATCTTGCATGAAACAAGAAGTCCGTTCTCATTGAAGACAATAAATCAATTTCTTCGAACAGGTTGTCGGATGCAGTGTAATCTCATGAAAAGGGTTTGTAACCTTAATTGCCCAAAAATGACTTCACCTCAGAAGATGATCAGGATAATTCATTCTCAAGCAATTTAAATCGTGCCCAAGGGAATGACCCACAAGAACTCTAGCTTTGCCACCATGTAACCGTAATATCCCAATCGACTCTCCATTGTAGAGAATCTGCAAAATTTTATCTTGCACTTCCTTAAGTGGCATAGCATCTCTCATATTCTCCTCAGTAATACCAGTAACTTCGTTCCTAAAACAATAACATACATAGGATTATAACTGATGAACACATGTTAACCTAATTAAAACTTAAAAGAATAAGTAGATCATATGCATCACCCAGATACCTATAATCGGTAACGGGAATTAGCGGTACTACGTAAGTATGGAAAATCGGTTTTTCATCTTCGTCAACAAGGCATACCCTAGCACATATATCCAGTGACCCATCACTTCCTCCGCCAACCATTTCGCAATCCATAGCGATTGCTTCAGGAATTCTCCCACTGCCATTTATATCAATTTGAGATTCTGTCACCAAATCCTGTATAATAAAACAAAAAGTTTGAAGTTCATGTGCTTGTTACATGCAAAGTTCATTTTCTGACAACCATAATATTTCCTGGAAAAAAAACTTATGAATATCTCAATTTGTTTTTAAGGTAAAAAGAGGGAAAATTTCCCAGGTCAACTCACAAGGGGAAAAGGAGCAGGTAGGCAACAGCTTTCCAGGTGTTCACAGAGAGAAGCCGGACTGTCAAAAATTCTCATACAGAGGGTGCAACCTCTTTCAGCAAATATTTTTGAACAATTCCCTTTAGCAAGTAAACCTAAAGGTTTGAGGAAATGATTATGAGTATGAGCACCCAAGTGAACCTTTGACAAAAAGATGTTCCAAACGGTAGTATTGTACATCACCAGTTGTGTGCTCCCTTAGTGATGCAAAGGATTTGCAATGCTTCTGACACACACCGCATTGAGGCTGGTGAACTGAGTGATACGAGACTTTCATATGTGCAACAAGATGCTCCTTTTTCTTATACTGCTTGAAACATGCCGCACACTTATGCCTGGAATCAGTCACAAATTACACACAACTTCCAGTAATTTAGGGGGATTATTCAAATATTAGAATATGATAAAGTTTGTAATGCATAGTGTCAACTTATGACAACTAATATATTATAAATTAGTAAACAGTATGTAACGAATTACTGTGAAATGAAGATAGCCAGTCAGCATAATGTCACAGAGCTTAAATTAATCATAAACAGAAAGTTCACAAAAACCTAACACATCGTAGATCAAATAATGTTAAATACGGTACATTTTGTCTATGAGAGAGATGGAAAGACAGTTTCTTATTCTTTATGATATAATTAGAGTACCACCTATATGATAAGAAAGGCATTAAAGGGATCGTTGCATTTTAAACTCAAGGCGAACATCTTCTAAGAAGCATTCCTGAAATCTCTACTAGTTTGACTACAAACGGCTCTCAAAATAAATAAAAGGAGATAAAAATGTATGGAATCTCTCAATCTGTCCACAGTTGAACCTCCTATATTTCTCACTTTCTAAACCTTCCTACACGTGCAGGTTGTTCTATCTTAGCAACTGAATTCGAAAACCTAATAGTATTTTTGGGACGTCCGAAGATTCGATCATTTCTCTATGATTTCTCTTGCACTGCCCCTTCCAATGGGTTTCGAAGATAAAAATCCTTTATTGGTGGTCTTTCAGCTATTCGTTCACATGCTTTTATAACGGCAAGTTAAAAGAGTTACCAAGTATTGCAAACACGAGTAAATGCAAATCAACAATCTGATTGTATTAATTATAATGAACACCTCGCAAAACGGTAACAAACCGACGAATAAAACCAGCCAAGCAATCCAAAAAATTAACAAAGAACAAATGCATTGTCCACAAATAAAACGAATCACTAACAAGGGGTATCTCTATATTCTTAATTCTAATTATTTTAATTTCGTAAAGAACTCGAATTTCTAAGTAATCGGAATGACCTTCCCAGCTACAAAACAAAGGATTCTCATAAATTAAGCTTGAGAGAAATGGAAAGTTGCCTTGCTGTTGTTATTATTGCGGTTTTCGCAGAATCTTCACTGGATTCCATAGTGTTCTGAGCTGAAATTATCCACAGACAAAGAACAAGAGGATTATTGAGACTTGGAAATAATGCTAGATTGGATTCGGGTGAGGCTAGGGTTTCTAGTATTATTGATCAGGAAAATTGACAGAGCACGCAAACCGTCATTGAGTTCATATGAACTTCATCTCATTTTATTTTTATTTATTATTTTTTAACGGAAAACTGCAGATGAGTATCGGTTCTATGGAAATTATCCAATTTAGGTGCACATTTGTATTCTTGTGCCTACGAGGTTATGAAAAAGGCTAAATGTACAGTCTTCTTATATAGTAAGTTTGACAGCCCTCTTACATGGGTGTAAGACCCGTGATTGTGGACTCCACCCCCATATGAGAGGACTGTCAAAATGTATGTTTAAAAAGGCTGTAAATGTAGCATTTCTCACGAGGTTGTAGGTTTGTAGCATCTTAATGATGAACCGAGTCTTTAAAAAATAAGTATTATGCTCTCAAAATGTTTTTCGAGGGATAAATACTTTTCAACATCATATTGAAGAATGAAAAAATGATAACCGAAAGGATAAAGAAAAACAAATAGGAGGCAACGATGGCGGATAGGCTAGGGTGTCACAAATATTGTTGAAGAAAAATTTGTAAATAGATTTTATATTTTCAAGTACTTATTTGTCCTCAATAAATGAATAGCTCAACGATGGGCGGGATAGGTTAGGGTGCTATGTTTCTTAATTAAAATTAAGGGCATATTAGACTTTTTCAGAAAAAAGGACCAATTGGAGCAAACACATAGGCTAGGGATGTTAATGTCAGGAAACAAATGTTAAAGACCATTTACACACTGAAGAAAAAAGTTAGGGACCATTTACACCAAAATCCCCTATAAAGTAATATTTGAGATATTCATAACCACGTGTGAGGTTAGGAAATATTAAATTATCAGAAAATAGCCTTCATATGTTTTGCAAATGAACCTTCTTACTCATTCCAAATTTTTCTTGTATAAATAAAATCGGTGTTCTGAAAAAGGTAAAACGCGATTAAATATTGAGGCAAAACTTCAAGTTTTACGAGCCTAATCGAGGCATAGGTGTAGAAAATTGTTTTCTTATTTTTAATTTATTATTAAATTTTTAATCATTTAATGATAAAAATTAATATATATCAAATATCTAAAATTATAAAATACCGTCTACTTAATAATTCATGCCATCAGTCAATTATACAATTTTCAAGTTTTCGAAATGCAAAAATTGAAATATTTTTCATAGTTTCAATTTTCAACTAAACAAATCTTATTTAATATATTTATAGGAATTTCATACATATTTTTAGAATTTGCAACAAAATAAAAAGTTTCAAGATCATAATTACAGATTGTAAATAGCATCATATCTTAAATTTTATTTAATTATTTAGATAAAATCATTTTTAACTTTTGTACAGATAAATTTTTTTAAAAACTTGAAATTAAAGTCAAATGAAAAGTGTTTTTAAAATAAAAATAAAAAAGCTAAAATCAAATAAAAGACTTTTAAAAAAATAAAACGCGTCTAGAGAAGACGAAAGAAATGAAGGAAAAAATTCAGTCCTTTAAGATTTGGCGGGCGGGGGCATTTTGCCCGAATTTTGAGCCTAGACAGTACCTAAACTTCACTTATGCGGACTTTTTAGAACACTAAATAAGACTACTCGTACACTCAAATGTATACACTTTGATTGACATTATTTTTGTGTCAAAAATTTAACCACTTACTAAAAAAGATATTTATAAAATCAATGTACCTAAATCTGTCAACACATACGAGTATAAACCAAAATGTATATATAGCATATCTCTACTCGTATTTAGGCTGTAGAAATGGCAATTTGGCCAAAAGATTCATGCACGACAAAATAGATGGAGTCAGTGGAACGCGATTTCGGCACGGAGACACCCTGCCCGTATGAAGTGTTAATTGAGATGGGGACAAGGTGAAAAATCCATATAGCGCGGCGTCAGGGATGGACCAATTTTTTTTTCTACTAGGCTGATACATAGAAAAAATTCCAGAGAAACCCCCTCCATATTCCTGTGCGCAGCGTGAGCCGCCCCATCCATAACCCTCCTTGATGTCATCTCTGTAAGATAGGGAGTAATACGACATTGATACATATGTACTTCTCACTTTTTATTGTATGATTTGAGTATGATGAGGATGCCTTGGATAGAATCTCAAACCGGTACAATGATAACAAGGAAATTCTTGAAGCGATTGCTATACGTTATGAATATTGTGGGATCATGAAATAGTAACAAATAGTTAACATTCTAATAAATAAAATGTCGTGTTGATAAAATGACATATACATATCTTTAATTTTTAATAAAGCGAGAAATTAAAAAAAAAAAAGGCTAATGGTTTGGTGTAATAATTAAATAGTATGTTTACATAGAATCAAAATATATTACTCTCCCCTTAATTGAAAAGAAAAAATAAATCAACTTTTAAATATCAATATTCTTCAAAGGATCGACTAGATATCATACTCAAAGCTCCACGTTCAACAAACTTGAAATGACAGACACCAAGAACAAAAGATTGAAGGAATAGCGAATCGACTAGAATACAGTCATCCTACCAAACAAGACACCAATGTTTTTTTACCAGTATATGGAGACAGCATAAAAGAGACCCAATTTTTCTTTGACGACAAAACTGTTGGCCCATATTACTGAAATCTCAACTCACTTCAATGATCACGAGGAAACTGACTGCAAAGTTTCCGCAGTAAGAAATTGACATTGATAAAAATATTGCTCATCTATAGTTGCCTTCCTTGCAGTTGAGAAGTGAAACAAGAAGTTTGCTCTCATTCTGTACAGTAAAATAAAAAATTTGAAGTTGGTATGCATACATGCGAAGGCCATTTTCTGACAATAACCATAATATTTCCTGGCACTAGGTTATGAATTATAAGATGAAAGAGAGAATTTCACCGATCAACTCAAAAGGGAGAAAAGAAGCAGGTAGGCAACATATTTCCAGGTGTTCACTAAGAGAAGCCGGACTGTCGAAAATCCTCGTACAGAGGCTGCAACCTCTTAAACAACTATCCATTTATATAAATAATTACAAAACATGACAATATATAGTATTAAATTGACTACTCATCCAAAGTTGAGCCACACCACAATCCATTTTACACCTCCAATCAATCACAACCATTCGGAATGTCTATTCAACAAAATTCAGTTCTATTAGAAATCTGCCTGGCAAGGGGTTCATACAGTCATTATATTCATAAATTTGTTTAAATTCGGTCCCTCAAAACAAAACCAAACACTAATTACAATTCACAACAGAACAGCAAATCGACTCTCACAATTAGTCTTTAATATTACAAAAAACAAAGTACACGAGACTGAACCATTAAATTTACATCGGTGTCATCTGGAAGCTGCAGCTCGAAAAATGTTTCACTAATAACCCTAAAGAAGGATCTAAGCTATTCTCTTTCTTTCAATAGCAACTCCTATAGTCTCTGCTTCACGCGTCGACCATTCACATCACTTCCATCCATCATACCTTCATTTCCATGTTTGCCAATGGCAATGGAGTGTTCAGTGATCCTGGCAACGTACTCTAACAATTCAGTGAGGACACGAGGACAGCTTTCTTTCAAATACTCAAAACCATCAGTCTGCATAACAGCTGTCATTAAAAAAATGTCAATTAATCAGTAGCAATTCACGTCAAGACATTACAAACTTAGACTAAAATAAAGCTGAT